GAAATGCAAAATTAAAATTGCTCATTTAAATATTAGATCACTTAAGAATAGAGACCATCTTATTCAGTTTCGACTTTTGGCTGAAAAGATTAAGCATGAAGTTATCACAATCTCAGAGACATGGCTAAATTCTACCGTAACTAATGCTGATATTACACTTGAAGGATACAAAGTATTAAGACTCGACAGGCTTGGGAAACGTGGGGGCGGTGTCTGTGTATATTACCGTAATGACTTGAAAGTTTGCCATTTAAAAGAACTGTCTGGAATTTCTAGTTCAGGATTCCATCAATTATGGTTGAAGATCCAGCACAAAAAGCTTAGATCAATAGTCTTATGTGTATCTTATCGACCTCCTGATTGCCCAATAACATGCCTGACAGAAGACTTCACTGGAAATTATCTAAAGGCCCTAACATATGGCAAGGACATCTTTGTATTGGGCGATCTAAACTGTAACATGTTGGAAGTCACACCAGAATCCAAAGCCTTGAAAGATCTTTGCTTGTGTTTAAATTTGTCACAACTCATCACTTCACCTACAAGGGTTACTCCTCACTCATCATCATTAATTGATGTTGTTATGACCTCAAATTCTAAGTTGGTCATTGAAAGTGGAGTTCAGGAGACTCATATTAGTGACCACTATTTAGTATTCTCCGTCCTTAATTTAAAAATCCCTAAACCACCACCTTTTTATATTACAGCACGGAACTTTAAGAATTATAATAAATATTCCTTCCTGGATGACCTTGGACAAATTAACTGGGTTGAAAACACCATTATAGATGACTGCAATGGAAAAGTGGACCACTTTGATTTTTGTTTCCAAAATGTATTGAATAAACATGCCCCTCTGAAGTCCATGAAAGTTAGATATCGACAATGTCCATTTATCACCCAAGAATCTAAAACAACGTATGCTGACTAGGAATAAGTTACTGAAGACGGCTCGGTGTACTGGCTTACCAGAGGATTGGCAGTGTTACCGGGTGTCTCGGAACGATGTTAAAATCAAATTGCGAACGGCTGAGAGAGTATACTTGCAGAAAGAGATACAGAATAATAAAAAGAGAAATTCAATGTGGAAAGCAATTAGAAACTGTATACCTCGTAAAGAGAACAGTCAACTTGCTTACACAAGAGATGTGAAGTTATTAGCAAATGAATTTAACGAATTTTTTACGACTGTAGGAGCGCGAACAAGTGAATCTGTAAAGTCTCTAGCAGCCAAAAATGGTATCTCCTTAACTCCATCAACAAATATGGTCACCTTTTACTCGGAGGAGTTCTCGTTCCGGGCGGTCTCCACGTTCGAGATTCGAAAAATAGTTTTCTCATTTCCCTCAAATAAGGCTCCGGGAGCCGACAAGGTGTCGATGAAGGTTATCAAAGATGCATTGCCGTGTATTCTATCTACTTTAACGGAAATCATTAACAGTTCCCTTCTTACGTCAGTCTTTCCATCAAAATGGAAGGAAGCTGAAGTGATTGCCTCATTGAAAGAAGGTGATCACGAGGTTCCTGATAATAATCGTCCGATATCACTGTTACCTGCAATTTCTAAGATATGTGAACGTGTGGTCCTAAATCAGCTAACAGATTACCTTGTTAGACACAAGCGGTTGTCAAGACATCAAAGTGGGAACAAAAAATATCATTCCACAGAAACGCTGAATATCTTTATAACGGATACTTTATTGGAAGCAATGGATAGAAAGCACCTATCGGCATTATTACTACTTGATCTTTCGAAGGCTTTTGATAGCATAGAACATTCCATTCTCCTGGTTAAACTCCGGTCGCTTGGAATCTCTAAAACCTCGCTGGAGTGGTTTAAAAGTTATCTCTCAGACCGTTGTCAGTTTGTACGCTTGGCGTCTGAAAGATCTGACTCTCGGAATATCACACACGGAGTACCACAAGGATCTATCCTAGGGCCAATCCTGTTTAGTATCTATATAAATGATCTTCCGCATCTTCCAAGGGCATGTTCCTTGGAATCCTTTGTGGATGATTCGAAACTGTTCCTCTCCTTCGTTGTAAAAGAAATGGAAGATGCCATGAGTTACCTCAATGATGACTTGCGTAGGGTTGCGATTTGGTGTTGTAGCCATAGTCTCCTTATAAATCCAGGAAAGACCAAACTTCTTCTTATGGGCACTCGCCAATTGTTGTCTACTCTACCAAATGGCTTTCATGTTACATTACTTGGTAAAGATATTTATCCTGTTCCATCAGCGAAGGATCTTGGTATTATCTTGGATAGTTCCCTGACTTATGATGACCATATCACAGAGGTCGTTTCAAAATGCTTAGCTTCGCTGTGCCAAATTAGTCGAGTCAAACATCTACTGGACAGAGAAACCCTTATCTCTATAATTCAAGCCCTGGTGTTTAGCAAGTTGTTCTATTGCTCCGTGGTATGGTCAAATACCTCAAAGAAAAACATCGACAAGTTGCAAAAAGTACAAAATTTTGCAGCACGACTAGTTACAAACACCAGAAAGTTTGAACACATAACACCTGTTCTGTCGGAATTGAAATGGCCACCAGTAAGCTTTATATTGGAACTTAAAGACGCAGTGATGACTTTTAAATGTAAAAAAGGCCTAGCGCCAACATATTTAACAGATAAATTTAAAGATAGACCTGCAATTTTTAACACTAGAAGCAAAGAGATGTTACAAACTCCTTTTTATCATAGTGCCGCTGGTCAACGTAGTTTTTTATATAGAGCCACAAAAATCTGGAACGACTTACCGGCCACGGTAAAGAGTATTAACTCTTTAATTGATTTTAAATTAGCTTACAAGGAAATTTTAACAAATCGTGATTAGCTTATAATAATATTTACACATAAATTATATATATCATAGTTATAGAAGTAAATTTTAGTTTAGATATGTAAATACACTAGCCTTACATAGAATTAATTCTGAAAAGCCCATTGGGAGAATTAATAATATATAATAATAATAATAATAATAATAATAATAATATATATTCGTCCCCTTATCGCGAGTGATTTTTAACGGTTTTACTATATATAGCTGAAAAATTTAAAAACAGAAACCATTTTGAACAGTTTATGGGAGTACAAATAACAATCAATCAGTTTATTGTAGAATATGCCGTGTGTTAAATCTATCATAATTAAGCAATGATTACGAATAAAGACATGTTGGACATAAAATTGCGAAGATTTGAAGCAAACATGTAGGAAGAAAAGATTTCACGATTAACGAAGCGTCATGAGCTAAAAATTGTTAGGAGCTAAAAATATGCACAGAACGGACAACTTTATACCTACAACTCAGGCTTGTAAGCAACGGATTCAAACGACAGTTGACACGACCTTGAATAATGAGCCTAATGTGCAACGGTTATAGCATGGTTATAGTGATCCAAAACATTTTTTCCAATGAACGCGAGTAAGCCACTATAGGCGATGCATAACGGAGGAGAGTCTGAAGTATACTTATCAATTATACTCATTTTATAGACCCTCAGCTCGGGGGATTCGACGAAATATTTCCCGAAATGATGGTATTTCCCGAGAGAAATATCTTATAGCTAATCCATGGCGGGACCTACGGCTTCAAACGAGAGCAGATTTATTCTTACGCAAAGGAGTAATCGTGGTCCAGTATGCGCCTATTCTTTTTAAATGAAATTTTTACACAACATGACATTGCACTACAAGACATTCGATACTTGCTTTAGGAAAATAATGTATAGTTCGTATTTACCGTCCTCTTTATCACCATAAAAAATATAATCCATGTCGGTTTCACTTCAAGAAGACCCCTAAGATGAAAAAATCAGGAAGAGATATAATTATATACAAAACAGGAGTTTCTCCTAAAGTTTCTCCTATCTCCGTGAAGATAACCTTGGATGCCTCCTCCCCACGTTTCGTTCGCAATTTAGGCCTGGTTCACACTAAATTCTAACAATTATATTTTCCGATAGACAAAGCATTTTGCACAGAATCCCAGATTCCACTCGGTTTATTGACACAAATTCCCAAAGGTGGATTTCTATTTACAGTGAAATACAGGGTGAGTAAAAAAACTGACACCTTTGAAATTCAAATTAAATGCAATGTGTCTGTAATCGGCTGTAATGAGACGGAAGCTACCTAAAATATTTTATGGGTATACGGAGCATATCAAATAAGTGAACCCATTAATTAGGTAGAACATAAAGTTTGTTCCCTTTGGGAGTTAAAATGCATTCTAAGCACTGTAATAAAAAAGAACGTAGAATTAGTTCAATGGGAATTGTCAAATTCTAGCCATAAGTTCGCGGCTAATTTGCCGAATTTCAAAGGTGTCAGGGTTTTTTTACTCACCCTGTACAGGGTGTCTCAAAAAAAACGCAACCACTTAATATTCTAAAATTCATATTGTTTATAAGCTCAATAGATTTTATGCCCCTGGGATTTTAAAATGGCTTCTAATCGCACAGTTCAACTGCTAGTAGTCAAATCAGCTAAACTAATAATGGTGCAGCTAACAACCGAACAACGAGTTTTTATTGTCGTGCATGATAACTTGAATGCTAACTGTCGACCTTGTAAAATAAATTGTAAATAAAATTTTACTCGTTAAATACTTTCAATTCAGCTCGTTGGTTTACGCACCCGACTTTGTTTACCGACGATTGTGCCGCTAGAATATGATTACAAGCTTTCTCGCATTCCAGGGGCCAAACGTCTTTTGTCAGTTTTGTGTTGTAGAACAAAGAGGATATTCATGAATATTAAGTGGAAATATTTGCATATTTTCTTTTGAGTTGAGAACAGTCATGTTGAGCTAATTTCTTTATGCTGTTAAAATTCTAAATGCAAATAATATGTAAATATTTCGCTAGCGAACTATTTCTCAAGTGTAAATCCAGCCTATGACAAAAGAACTGCTTCTTTTGAGTGGACATTTTTTGGACACCCTGTATACTGCCGTATCACCCCGCGCTCCTACCCAGTCTCCTGTAATTGAAAATCGAAATCGAATGTTGTTTTTCAATGGCGGATGAAAATATGCCATCTGTAACGAAATTAGGTACGTTTTTATCTGTAATGTATTTCACAAAATAATATTTTTTGGAGAACTGAATATGGCAAATATAATTGGTAAAGAACGCCTGTATTCGAAAAGCACACGCACACTCATTGAGTGGGACAAGGGATTATTCACGGCTACACATAAACATCAAACATGGCCTCCCTCATTTGTTTGATACTACGATTTTAGATAGGACTTACATGAATCTTTAGGTCTCATGGGTAGTTCCCGTCACCAGATTATTTTGGCCAACACTCAATATGTATTAGACCTATGAGGGCGAGTAAGGAAGTGTGCTTTTGGAATGGCAGCGTAATAAAGACCAAACCAAGCTTAATGTATTGTGATAGCTGGGTTAAATTGCAGAATACCCCTCCACTAATGATATCATATCGTCTAGCTACTGTTTCACTGGAATTAATTTCCCTCATCCTAGACCTAATACTACCCCAAACAATGCCATGCTAACACTCATCCATGTAACTCTCCTATATCCAAGAGAAACCCTGTCTGGTTGGGTGTTTATACTAAGTCATTAACATATATGTAAACTCTATATATACTGCACCCTAAAGTAGTTGCCAGGCATAAATCCAGCAGTTAAATTAAATTTTAGCAGTCTGTGGACAAGAGAAAGATCAAATATGCATCTCTTCTTCCACAGGCAGGCCCTAACAAATATATCATTGCATGGTTGCTCAATGCTCGTAAATTTGAATGAATGAATTTTGTTGAGTTTTTGTTGGCAAACTATAACCATTGATATTTCCAAGTTTGGTGGCAGTTCATTGGCAATGTTTTTTTGTCTATAATTGACAGCTTCTCTTTGAAGATGCAATATATTATTTACTTGTTACTGTGTTCGATAACAATTAGAAGTGATGTGTTCTGGCTTACAGTATTCACTTGTTTTTGTTGATGATAAGCCATCCAAAATTTCATCTTCAGTGACACTATTAGCAGTAATCGCCAAAAATTTTGCTACCAAAAATTGCAAAAGCTGAAGATTCAAAGCTCTTTGAGTGCACATGATTGAGCTAGTGCACATGGAGAGATGGAATAGGAGAGGACTTGTCAATTGCAGTAACTGTTTGTTGATTAAAATTAAATACTAGTTCACCCTATACACTAGACCAGAAAAGGTTTAAAACAAACAGTGTTTGAAGTTAATTGCGAGTCTTCTTATCTCACTCTGTCTCTTGTGTATGTTATTATTTTAAAGATCAGTGCATGATTACCGTATGAAATTTACACATGAAATTTACTCACAATTAAAATAGCATGCTGACACTCATTAATATGTTGCTTATCACACAACACAATCATCTCACTGAGGGAAATTAACGCCACCCAAAGAGTAGGTGGATTGTCGAAAAAATTATATGCACTTCTATTTAAGAAATAGAAAACATTTTCTATGTTTTTATCAGTGAACTCTATACAACTAGGACAATAACTCCTGACAAACATCCCTATTCAGCTTGAAGCAAAATAGTTTTTCTGAGTTATGAGTTGAAGTACTTGATGCCAGACATTGGGCTGTATGTCAAAGCTGTTGAAAAGTTATATTTTATGTGGAAATTTCAAGACTTAAACTGCACAGGAAATATATATATATAAAAAAAAAACTTTTGCCAACCGGAAAAAAACAACTTTTACCAACCGGAAAAAAAACGGGAAATTTTCAAATATTTTTTAGATATTTCCCTTTAAGCTAAACTCTACATAAAATATAACTTTTTAATAGCTTTAATTTCATTATATGGCTCAACATTTGGCATTATGTATTTCAGCTCATAACTCAGAGAAAGTAAAAAGCACTGGCTTCAATTTTCCCTTCTAAGTTATTATAACTCCAGTTTACAGTTCAATGGTTTCTATACAGTTATAGAAACACATGTGCAAGTTTGGGAGAACAAGAAATTATAATAGAAATAATATTGTTTTCCAATTTTAGGAAACCACTTTGCCTCCACTAACATGGCAGGTTACAGGCAAAAATATAAGACATTAAAAAGGAAATTAAAATTTCTATTATATGTAAGTATTAATTTTGTAGATTTTAAACTTAATTATATGTAGAAGACTTTTGGTAATATCTGCATACTTTATGGTACATTTTGATGACATGCATTTATATCCTCTTATTCCCCTCAATCATAGCTAGCATGTAAACATAAAGTATGCGATTTATATCAAGGCTAGAAAGGTTTCATTTGGTAAGAATGAAGACATATAGACAATAAGGGACATACTCTGGAATTAATTATTCTAGGTTGAAACAGACCGTAGTGGACAATTTTTTGTAAGCAATACTTTTCTATCTGCTCCATCCCTATGGTATTGGGCACTCTGGTATTCCATAAACCAAACAATATTTATATTTTCATATGTAAGACAAGAATAAAATTCAATAAACTTGGTTTAGTTCATATGATTTTATTTACTACAAATTTGTTTCATAATAACAAGCAGTGCTTGCCACACTCATCAGGTGAATTTAAATGTTGCGCTATATAGTTGCCATGGTTATAAATATACTATTTACATGTTTGATGGAAAACGGATTGCATATATACATATACATATTGTATTAAGTTATATTACTTGAGAGAAATTTATTTATATGTCGGCATTTTGATAAAATTTCGCTTCTTGAATTCAGGGAACAAAGTTCAGGGTGGTAGATTCAATCCGTTTTCCATCAAACATGTAAATAGTATATATATATAACCATGGCAACTATATAGTGCGGCATTTAAATTTACCTGATGAGTGTGGCAAACACTGCTTGTTATATGAAACAAATTTTCTAGTGAATAAAATCTTATGAAACCAAGTTTATTGAATTTTATTCTTGTCTTATAAGCTCTATACTTTGGTATTCTAAACACATATTTGGTATATTTATATATGTGTAAATATATATAGAGGTAGTCACCTGGAAATAGTATAAATACATAAGTATCAATCACATAGTTTTTCTGCATATATACATTTTTTTGGGAAATCTGTTTTGAAATTTTGTAGTGGCGAACAATATTAATATTAAAGTAAAGAGACAAGTGAGAAGTAACAAAATGAGCCATGTTTAATTAATGTCATTGGTATTTATCAATGAAAACAATCTCAATCCGGAGAACATTGGTAGCTCTACATTAGCATTTAGAACTAGACTTTAATCTAAACAAAATTAGTAGATACACCTACGTTGCAAAGTTCTTGCATTAAAAACTTGGGTTGGCAGCACATATACAATCACCGTTTTCTTTAACATTTGCAGTAATCTTAGCTCATTTGTCTGCAGAAATTTAATGTGCATTCTCTGTAATATATTGGTTGTGTACAAGTATGTATACTAAATGTCACTCCCATAGAATAATCACCCTCATCCTTCTGGATTGTCGCCACTATCAAGGATTTTATTTTAGGTACTATTTTGAAGGAGCAAATACCAGGTGCAAATAGGCAATTCACAGTATGCATAATTAATGCATATTTAACAAATATTCGCCAAAGGCGAGGTGAATATGGTTGAAAAAAGAAGAGACGAAGTCGAGTAATTTGAATTTGTTTTTGAAATATACCAAATTTGCTGTAGAAAGTACATTTTTTACAAACTCGACATAAAAAGTTGATTTAAATAAAACGGTATTTTATGCGAAGTAATGTTTATCACCGTTACATAACGTAGTTTTTACCTCGAAATAATTTAAGGCTCTTCTTTCCGCTTATTTTGTTGTTTCAGGCACAACATTTTCTTTAAAATTTTCTGTTAAGTGTGACTTTGACAAAAACAACTCGCCGCCATTTTGAAAAAGCCGCTTCGGGCAGTGATTATATCATTATCGCGTTTGGTTATTCCATAGGTAGCCCAGAAATCTGTTTGTACTCAGTCCTCGACTACATTGTTTACGTGCGCAGTCAGCTTTTACTGTGTGTACTAATTACTGTGATATATAATACAGAATATAATACAGTAATTAGTACACACAGTAAAAGCTGACCGCGCACGTAAACAATGTAGTCGAAGGCTGAGTACAAACAGATTTCTGGGCTACCTATGGTTATTCGCGTAATGATCCGATTCATTATTTTTCACTTTTGGCAGTGTTTTTGTTTACCTTTCTGGCCTTATTTAGTTTATATGCAGTTTGTATGATTGGCTAGTTGTATATACTGGAGTTATTTTTATTCACTGTGAGCAAGTTAGAAAGCAATTACAACTCGCCGTAGGGTGCAATTAATGCTCAAATCGAACTCCTCTTAGCTAATGAAATTGCAGTATTTGGAAATAATTAATGAAATAATTGTACTCCTCTCAACCAATCAGCATGCATGCAGTAATTTTAGTACGCTACTAATAAATTTGGATAGCCTGATTAATATAAATAATTACACTCCAGGAACCTAATGAGATCTGAATGACATAGGCATACAGCCTATTTTCAGCAGGTCTAGTCTTAAATATTTGGCGTAAATAGTACTAAAAATATATATTGTATATTTAGTCAATTTACTCAAATTTGTTGACTAATAACAAAGCAATTTAAACAACTTTTTATCATGGTGCATTATTTGAGAGGAGGGTTCAATCAAAGGCTGAAATCTTCAATAATCACTTTTGTAATATATATTAAACAGGAACAAGAAAGTTTTCAAGAAGAATTGAGAAGATCACAAAGGAAACTTTTGAGAGTTTCAAAAGATAAAAGGTGTGTATTCCCAGCACTAAAATTTGTAATAGGAAATGCAAGTTATTGGGTGTAAAATTAGGAACACTATAATGACTATATACGTGCATGTATATAACACACTATAACGTAACGTCAGTCGAACGTTGATTGAGGGGGAACGTATTCATATACACCAGGTTGATTTCTAGTGAAAGTGAAATTGTTTTTTTTAACGAAATTAGCCAGGCATAGCATATTACATGAATATGGTTCCCCTCAATTGACGTTCGATTGATCGCCAATGATAGGTAATACTAATAGCATGGTTTCGAGTGAGAATTTCTCGCGAGTGCATGCCAGTAGTTTATCCGTAATTGCACGAGAAATTCTGCTATTATACTTACTATCGATATACAAGGAAATGTTTTAGACAAATGCCATAGTGTAAATTTGTCATGCCCCCCACGAGTCATGCACGATAATCTTTTTTCTGTGAAAATTTGAAAAGCGAAGTTCATTTTGAACTTTATTAACTTCTGCATGTTATTAACATTTTTTCCACGTTGCTATTAAATAGAAATAGTACCCATCGTTACCTTTTTTCATTTTTAATTTTTAAAAAAGTTCGAATGTCTGTGGAAATTTCACCGGAGTTGAATTTTTTCAACGAAACTTGCCGGAACCATGCATGCACGTTTAAAATTGTTTTTCGCGGGAACTCACAGGGAAATTTCACACACACACACATTTCTAGGGAAATCATATCACGGAAAATCTTTTACCTGATTGCAGTGTGATTTTCCGTTATTTTCCGCTAACTAGTCATTTGAGTTTGTTAGAATATTCTGCAAATTATGTGCACTGTTGTTAACATTTTGCACTGGTTTTTCGGGATTAACCGCGCAGTCTGAAATCGATCAGTCAGATCGAGATACATTTTCTTGTATAGTATTTTACATGCATGAAAAGCTTATACTGTTCTGTAAAAACAGCAAAGATTCAAGAGCCGACTACATAGATTATACACGTATGCGCGTTATACGATTAGTAAATTATTACTTGATTTTCGAGTCGAATTTAGAACTTATTGTATGTTTTATACTTTCTTGCAGTTTTCTCCTTGACCAACTTCTTCAAGTAGAAGGACTTGATTTCCCCTCCTCAGGTGAGACCTTGCGATAATGTGATAATCAGGTGGTTTAGATGATCAACAGGTGTTTCCAGACTCCAGTTAAGCGCTGTAATACTCTAACTATTGCATGTAATGCTGTATTTCTATTTAGAAGATGAAGAAACTGCTATTTCATCGAGTGAAGACGAACTACAGAAGGTAAACGAACATTTAAGTTTACAATACAGTATATACTGCCTGTAGCCTGTGAATAATATCTTGGGGCGAACTTTTATTTCGCACTACTAATACAAATCCGTACATGCACGTGAGAGAATGAATGCCCAGTGCACCAACTCCGTGTCTAACACTTGGGCATGTCGTCGATTCGTCGTATATGCTGTGAACTTAGCGGGAATCACCAGCCCACTTCGCGCTTTCTTTTTCCTGTAACCTCTACCAAAAGTTTATTCGAAAACACAATGTAATACTACCACCCGCGAACTATATATACATCAACTATTCTCAGGGAAGAATATACTAGTTCTGCAGCTCGTCTTGTAGTAAACTGTAAAAGCGCTCTCTTCTGTAAATATATCTTCGTACTTAATCCTGGTATATAGCAGGGTCTCGAATATAGTAGCTATACTGTAAAAACAACTTCGCTTCAAATGTGGTATAACAACTGCCTAAAATAGACCAAATCACTTCTCGACGTTTTGACCTATAAGGGCATTTGTCATGAAGGGGGAATTAGTGGTCATACTGAAGAACGAGTTATATTTATAGTGGTCATGATTCAAAGAACGTAAAGCGAATTTGTTTCAAGACGCTGCTCCTTGGTTATACTGTAAAAACAGTACCAATTGAAACTGCTTACCTGAGACAAACAATTTCTTATTAGTTGTTTTAACAATCTGTTTTTACAGAGGTAGACGCGCAGCAGCATCTTTGAGCAGTGGCATTTAAAATAGCCACGTTTTAAATTGTACGGTGTACATATTTAACAGTTATTCTATACGAACTCGAGTCGTATATGAGCTCGCCCTTTCGGTGCGTTTTGGTGTGCTATTATCAACTAAAGCTTGGATTTCTATTTCACTCAACTCCCCGAATCTTTCGGCCATTTCGTTTACTTTCTCTACTAGACAGATATGAGCTAATATCTGTCTAGTAGCCAACCAATGAAATTGCAGCATACCTCATATCTGGCGCTTGTGTATATAGTATCCTAGCTGTATGGTAGGTTATTTAATGTACAATTTATATATGACATGGACATTTTTTGACTGGCATACAAATCAGTGGACGGTTCCGGCAATTCTAAAACTGGAAAAATTCCGAATCTGGAAAGCAAAATTTAGAGAAAATCTATCTTTCGACTTATGTACTTCTCATCGACTGCAGTAAATACCATACCCTTTTCAATGGCATAAAATACTTCTGAAATACATACAATACCCCCACCTTTTTCCGAAAAAAAGGCGATGTTTATAGCTCAAATGCGTCGTTTGCGAACATGATGAAAAAGGGTACCCTTTTTCGTCGATCTTGTTGTTAAGAAGTAAGACGATAAAAGGTACCCTTTTCGGTCTAATACGTCATTACATCGTTCGATGAAAAAGGGTACCCTTTCTGATGAACTTATGACCTTTATGATAAGACGAAAAAGGGTACCCTTTTTTCTTTGTTCTGCAGATATCAAGTGGGACGAAAAATGGTATGAAGTTTTTATAACTGTCGTACCGCGCTATAACGCGTAAGAAAGCACGCCGTTTGACTCGGCGTGCGCTTTCAAAGCCGAGGAGTATAATTTATTTTCTCGTTGAAATTAATTTTAAAGTCAAAAATGGCGGAGTACTTAGAGCAGAATATCGAATATGTAAAAGAATGCGTTCAAAAGAATCACACTTATCGGCAGATTAGCGCCAATTTCAAGCGGGAGTTTCCAGAGGTTAATCGTGGTTTTTCGGAAAGAAACATTCGTTTGTTCTGTTCGAAGAATGGCATAAAGAAATTGGACAATTTTCAAGTCGACAACATTGTCGAACAGTCTATCAGTGAGGTAGGGTATAGTATGAAAGATTATCTACACTGAACCGTCTGTATATAATACACGTGTGCATATTGTTGAACAGGTAGGAGCGTCCTATGGTCGGAAAATGATGGCTGGCTATATTAATAGTAAAGGACATTGTCTCAGTCGTCGTCAGGTTCGTGCGTCGCTGCAACGTGTCAACCCAGTTGACCACAACAGAAGGAGAGATGATATTGTTCGAAGGCAAAACCCCGTGCCATACAATGCTCCTTACTACGTCTATTGGATGCGCATTCCACGCAGCAACAACCCTCTCGATGCCAACGTTAGCAACATTTATCGTTATAAAAGAAACGCAAAATTGTAAAATGGGATCATCTCTGTTTATCAACAGCCGGTTTTCCATTCCGACTAAGATTTCTTTTATTGGGTACAACACGCGTTGGTTTATTTTTGGCCATTTACGCTCAGAGGGAAGGTTCTGTGGGGGGCAAAAAGAGTGAAATAATATAGCCATTATATCTAACTTAGATATTTCATCTATATAAATGACGTGTATAGTATAGTGGCAAGCAAACCTTCGCCATTATAATGTGTACCTCTCTAGACCGCGTCTGGACATAGGGTGGAGAAGTGACATTCCCTCTATGATTCTTCAAATAATCTTGAACGAACAACATGAGGCACGCTTCTGTCCCATGATCGACTCGCACCATGTCCCAAATGCCTTCGATCACCAAAATCTCCCTGCATGTTAAAAAATTACACACGCATGTATACACAAAAAATTGCTTCATAGGGTTAAAACAACGCGTATCACTGAACGCGTAAAGCGTGCAACCGTACATGGCCAACTTTTCATTTTGATCGCAATGTAACTTGTTTCCGTAGTAAGGAGCATTGTATGGCACGGGGTTTTGCCTTCGAACAATATCATCTCTCCTTCTGTTGTGGTCAACTGGGTTGACACGTTGCAGCGACGCACGAACCTGACGACGACTGAGACAATGTCCCTTACTATTAATATAGCCAGCCATCATTTTCCGACCATAGGACGCTCCTACCTGTTCAACAATATGCACACGTGTATTATATACAGACGGTTCAGTGTAGATAATCTTTCATACTATACCCTACCTCACTGATAGACTGTTCGACAATGTTGTCGACTTGAAAATTGTCCAATTTCTTAATGCCATTCTTCGAACAGAACAAACGAATGTTTCTTTCCGAAAAACCACGATTAACCTCTGGAAACTCCCGCTTGAAATTGGCGCTAATCTGCCGATAAGTGTGATTCTTTTGAACGCATTCCTTTACATATTCGATATTCTGCTCTAAGACTAAGTACTCCGCCATTTTTGACTTTAAAATTAATTTCAACGAGAAAATAAATTATACTCTTCGGCTTTAAAAGCGCACGCCGAGTCAAACGGTGTGCTTTCTTACGCGTTATAGCGCGGTACGACAGTTATAAAAACTTCATACCATTTTTCGTCCCACTTGATATCTGCAGAACAAAGAAAAAAGGGTACCCTTTTTCGTCTCATCGTAAAGGTCATAAGTTCATCAAAAAGAGTACCCTTTTTCATCGAACGATGTAATGACGTATTAGACCGAAAAGGGTACCTTTTATCGTCTTACTTCTTAACAACAAGATCGACGAAAAAGGGTACCCTTTTTCATCATGTTCGCAAACGACGCATTTGAGCGATAAACATCGCCTTTTTTTCGGAAAAAGGTGGGGGTATTGTACGTATTTCAGAAATACTTTATGCTATCGAAAAGGGTATGGTATTTACTGCAGTCGATGAGAAGTACATAAGTCGAAAGATTGATTTTCTCTTAATTTTGCTTTCCAGATTCGGAATTTTTCCAGTTTTAGAATTGCCGGAACCGTCCACTGATTCATACATGCACAGTTGAAGCTCCTATAACTAATAACATGCAAAATTCAATTTTCAGAAAATTGTCGCCGACAGAGTGCCAAAAGAGAAAAGGTGAACAGCAAGATGTTGTACAAGGCCGTTTCAGTAATTGTATAGACGGGGGGGATATAATGCAGATCAGAATTTGGCCTGCTTTGATACTTTTTCATCCATATACTTTTTCATCGTCCGTCGTGCATTATATATAGCTGTTCGACCCTTATAGCAAAATGGCGAGTTTTCATTCAAGCTCTAAATTATCACAAATTGATAGAAATCGAAAGCATGTTTGCATGTAAGGTGATAGTATATTATTACGTGAAAAGCCATCATGGTATAATCGCTTTAAATGCGTACGATTTTTATACGCGAGTTGTGAAGGGTCACAGACTCGTTAGAAAAAGTTTGTTAAGAAACAGATTTCCTCTTATGCGAAGGTTGCAAAATTGATCGACACCACGACAGTATACTACTTTACACAATTCCATTCCTGTTTTCTGCATGTTGGCTGTTAGTTTACATCTTCGAACTCCCTGGGACGCCTTACAGTCTGGCATCTATATATAATAGTTTTGTCTGTCTATTAAATGTTTTAGGTCTTGCTTTGTCACTAGGTCCAAAAAGCAAGCCCAAGGAGTTTCCAGCTCACCTGTTGATTCGTCAATTCATCACTCAACGACGTCTTCGCAAGACACCGTAAGTACAAGATGAATTCATGCATTGATAAACACGATTATTATGCATGTATAATTACAAATGATAAAAATGCCCGTTAATATTTTACTGCGTAGATCTGTTCAAAAGAGAACAAGTACAGTATCTATATGCAATAAAATAATGAGAAAACCCCCCTAAAAACTAAGAGTTAAAACGTTAAAATCGAAGTCGGGATGTAGATGCATAAACATAATTATTACCGTGTAGTTTCTTCGAAATTTTGTTCAGCGGAAAATAGATATTCCTTCCGAAAGATTTTATTATTTGTCGAAAGTAAAAATGTCTTGATATTTGAGAATTAAGTTCTCAATCTCACTCCTATAGATCGACGCCGTCTTAATAAATATCGATATTATTTTATGTAAACGTCCTTGCTAACGACATTTTTGTTTAATTTATATGCCCAGAAGGTTGACCACAACAACCAAATTAGATGCAAGTTTTTCGAAAATGTAAGTAAAAGATCGTAAACTATTAAAAGTTTCATTGTAAGCGCGTATTTAGATTCGCAAAAAATAACTGTCTTTCGTACATGCAGCTTTTTGTATACTGGTTGCCAATTGCGAATTACTGCATTCCAGCAGGCTAAAAATTGCCTCCTGAATCTAACTGGTGGGGTGTTTTGCATAAAAGATAAATTTCGTTGCGAAAGAGATTGCTAAATCCACGATTTCCCGATACGCAAGATTGTTGCTGTAAATTTTGTCAGAATGCGTTACTGAGACACAAAGACGATAATATATAACACGCATCGTGTATGGTACGCCACATTTGCATGCACCCAAAAGACAAACATCAAACACGAAGAACGTCAATTGCTATACCGAACGAAATATCGCACACATTCACTGTAAAGTCGCAATCTTTCTTATTCTTATTACATATTCCTCATTGATGCTCTTCAGGGTAAACAATGTGTAAAGTACATCAGCAAGAGAGCGAAATCAGGATATTGTACTGCTCATAGGACGGTGATCAGGATATCAAAACAAAGTAGGTCTATCTTCTTTTCGTTGTCCCTGCATGCATATATACAATAGACGCGTTCAATTAATAGCACACTTGACACGGCACGGCTAGAAGTGATTCCTGTACCCAATTTTATCAGTACTCTGCCTACTAATATACAAAAGTCGGGCACGGATGAAATTGAAACGGACACCTATTTTCGCCGTGCCGTGCCTATTAATAAATCGAGTGCATGTACAGTAGTGTAAACGGGGTTAATATTGCCAATAATGACTATATGTATGTTGTAGTATGGTAAGGACGAGCTGTTCATGAACAAAAAACCACAGGCCCGACTGATGAAAATGATTATTTGGGAATACTTTAAAATTGGCAAAAAAATTTATTTCAGAGAACATTTTGGCAATGTTGTGACAAGAATATTGCCTTTGACTTCTGTTGTGAACAATGAAATTCACCCCATAACCTCAGAGTTGTCTACTGAGTCATGTAATTAAAAAAAAACTACACAATGACTGTTCGGAAAATTGCGAATACATGCCTATTTATGAAGTTTAAGATTTTAGAGTGTTTTACTGATTGTTAGATGTTCGTCAATTCTTTGTGATTTTTTTGAATAGGGTTGAAATTTTCTGCTATTTTAACAACTTTCTTTTTTTGGATATCAATGTATTACACGTTTAATGTTCAATTAGAAATTTTCCCTCTGCAGCTAATACTCAATTTTTTATCATAGACAATACTGGAAAGCCCACTCATCTTCTTCCCCGGTCAAATGAACAAAATGAGACAGAACTCGTTCGTCAGGTGCGTTTAATTCTGCATGCATGCATGCATGGTGTTAAATATATGATATCTTTCATGCTTTTCACTATTGCGAATGATTATAACTGAAATTTTTCTTCAATTTTATTTAAAGACACAACCGTCTTCCTTCAGTGTCCCCATGCAAAAGTGTAACCCTTTGAAATTTTAATGCCATGATATAGTATGGACTTTTATAAACTGTCTACTGTATGTCATTACATAGATTGTGAACATAGAATGCTTTTACACGTTTTGTCCCCAAACTATACATGCACGTCGCTTCCATACATAGTTTTAACATAATAAACGTAACGCTTTCAATTTCAAATTATAGGCTCGAATTAATGACCTTCACTTATTACGGAATCAAGAAACAAATGAATTTCCAACGACGTCTGCTGCCTTACCTCAGGATGTTTTCAGTATGGATGACGACGATCCAACGAGGTATATGTATACGCACTATATGTTCTGCTCTTTTTCACACTACCCAAGGTCAGGCTATTCTAAAGCCAAAATATTCAGCCAATAAGACAGGTCGATCGAGTGTAAATATGTAGTATTTTCTGCACATTCACACAAATACAAGAGATTTCGAATTAAACCCGTTTTTTTTTATATAATGCAAGTCAAGTATTTTTTAACAAGATCCTGATGATTTCTAAATAATTATTCAGAATTAGGAGGGCTGCTTTATTAGGCCGGTTTACACTGTCAAATTCTTTGTGATCACATGGAATTGGAATTTTCAAAGTATTTAGTAGAAATATTCCCTTGAATATTGCACATGCACTGAGTTTCTTCATTGTGATACTCGCTGGAAACACACTTTTAACTTCGGATTTACCAATGCCAATTTTCAACTGTGTGAATCAATGGTGTGAACACAGGAACTTTGACGGTGTAAACCGAGCTTTACCCTCGTTGACGAAACTTTTCGCTTTTTGCCATATAGTGAAAACGAAGGTTCAACAGAATCACATAGTTACCACAACAACATCTATGAAGGAGATGGTGATTTGATAATTGATCTTCCTGAATAATCATATAAGGAATTTCTCGCATCGTTTAAAACCTATAATATATTTTCTCATTGTCAAGCAACATATTAAAGTTGAAACAATTCATGTACAAGCTGCGTATATATTAAAGGAATACTAAATGTTTTCTGTGCAGGATAGCGTGATACTGCGCGATTAAACAAGCCACTTAGTGTTTTTGTAGTTAGGGCAAACCGTTGTTCCATGTTTTCTTTAACTTGTATGTCTATCGTTTCAAACTTCGGCGTAGAATTGTCTGACATTTTAAAAATTCCGCGCGAAACGGCAATGTAAACTTTAAACTAATAAACAGAACATTACACGGTTCGCTCGAAGATATGAATTTTATGTTCTCGTGTCAAAAACAGTATTGTTTTGCCACTCGCAACCATGATTTAATATCCTATATGTACTCAGATCGCTTTTACGGCATTTATATGCAATCTGCAGCAATCTTGTTTAACTGTATTGGTTGTACTGGTGAGATTGGTAGATTGTTATATAAATGAAAATTTTTGAATAAGTGAATATTTCTGGTGCCTGGTGCCACTGTCCAAAAATTATTATGATCGCTGGCTCAGGTAAGCTTCAACAACTTTATTATTTACGTTCAGCGTTGCCAGATCGTGAACAAAGTTCACAGATTTGTGAACGTTTTGCTCTCTTCATGAACTTTTTATGAACTTCGAAGATTTGTGAACTTTTTATTAAATTTTTAAAATTGTTAAAAAGAGCTGTTTCTCATGTTTTTAAAAAGAACTGTATCCCATATTTATTTGGTATTTATCGTCTTTGGGGGAAATGCGGTGAATCCGGTCAATCCAGTGGACCAATCTCGATTCTCGATAATCTCCAAAAATTTCCGGCGATATTCCGACATATTCCGACGTTTTCCGATACTTTCCGATCTTAAAATTTAGAGATATGAACTTTTTGTCATTTTTGTGAACTTTTAACGTAAGCGAACATGAATATTTTGAAATTTCATCTGGCAACACTGTTTACGTTTTTGATACACTTGAGAAGCTCGGTTGAATGGGTACAAAATCGATTTGTATATACTGATTTTTGTAGTTCTTCGCCTTCTTATGTGGAATTGATATATTGCCTTTAACAGTTCAATAATTTTCTAACATGGGGAAAAATGTTGATGGTGAAAGCAGCAAGTCTAAGACTGCTGGAAAGATAAAATCTGACGAGGTTCTTACCAAGGTATTTTAAACAATCCATCAGTCAAATGTATATTCCTCTAGGCTTTGGGATTGTCTTTGGAATAGAATAAAATTATGCACCCAAAGCTAATGTGGGAAAACTTCACACCTTATTCTAGGGGTGAACTGTTACCTGATGAGTAACATGTGTGATAGATCACATCAAACGTGGGAGCACAATGACCCTCTAGTTGCTGGGATGCCCTAGTTTATTCTCATATTAAATATGGCATACAGATGCACCCTATTTCATACGCTTTGTTTCTAAGAGAAGTTCAATTATTGCATCGAACAATGATGCATTTGATTATCTGCAATTTATAAACTCTAGTATTAATTTGTATATGATTGCAATATTATATATAAAATTTCAAAGCCTCTATATTACTAAACAGAAGAGATTCCTAGCAAAACATGTTCAGAATCTGTTAAAAAATATCACACAGGATCATTAACTAGTCATATGACTGGACATCATCTTAATGTATTGAGAATGGACAGTCAATAATTTAAAACGAATTCCGAATTTGACAAATTTGCCTAGAAAATGATAAAACCTGATTATTTTATTCTATGTGTACATTATTTTAATTTAATTGTGATTATGTGGAAATTGTAGGTGATTATTCGACGTTTGCCACCAAACTTCCACAAAAATATGCTTCTTCAGGAATTGAGTGTGGTTTTCCCAGAAGGTTTACCAGATCATGACTATTTTAGGTTTTGTGGAAGTGAACTTAGGTAAATATATCACATCATACATGTTGGAAGGCCTGCTAATTATTTATGTAGAAGCTAGAAGCTCAGTCAAAATGCATTTTGGCCTATCAGCATATCAGCATTTGACCTACACATACTAGCTGACTTGGCTAACACTATAATTAATGGCTAACTTTGCAACATATGCATAGTTTAGTGTTAAGAGAATTGATTGTGTAAAAGGATTTTCTTTCATTGTTGTGTAATGATTTTCTTTAAGTTATTGTTTAATTATGATAAAAAGCAATAGACAAATTCTTAAAGAGCAATCACTTGAATTTCAATTTCAGCAGCCATTGTTGTGAGTTTTGCATACCTGCTATATATTGCTTCGCGACCTGTGTATATAATAGTATAACAGTGTGTTTGTTGAGATTAAGCATGGAAATACTGTGTACATACAATATTGTGAAACACAATAACAACTAATACACGTATATACATTTTCCTAGTTTTTCTCCAGTTCCGTTTGCTCGTGCATACATTAATTTCAAACATGTAAAAGACATTATAAATTTTAAAGAGAAACTTGATGGTTACATATTTACAGATGGCAAAGGTAAGTGTTAATTTGGTGGTATTTTGAGCTGAAAGTAATGCTATGAGTGACTTGTACTGATATTTTCAAAAATATAACTGTTGAAGATATTAATTGATACTGTCTTGTTATTGAAAAAAAGTGTGATTGTATAGACCCTTTTGATAATTACGTCACAACATTATCGTTTTAAATTTAGAATCACCTTAAATAAGATGGATTAAGTTTTACTCTCACGAGCTTCCTGCAAAGATGCAAAACATTGTTCTTAAACACATGCATAAAAAAGAATTTTTAACTTTGACCACTAAATGGGAAAAAAAGCCGTAAGACTAAAACGATGCTACGCGTGGCCTGCCACGACCGGGAACCTCGTTCTCGAGTAATGGCTAATTTTCATATACTTATTTGTCAAAATGAAAAATTCTTGACGTGTGTTGAAGAAAGACGTTTTGCATCTTTGCACCTGGCTCATAAGAGTAAAACTTGAATGCTGCGAGAGTTAGAAAAGCGCGCGAAACACGAGCCAGAGCAAACTTTCCAACGGCAACAGGAAATAACCCTAATCACTCTGTGGCAATCTGCATGCACCAAACCTTGAGTATAGCCATTGCTTTCTGCTTTATTCAACCCGGGACTGGAAACCACGGCACTGTTTGTAGCGAAACAACTCAATTTATATAATAACAACAGTAAAACACGCAATTTATTTGGTCAATGCCCGTACAGGATAAGACAATCCTGCACGGATTTCTTAAATGCCTTCGTGTGGGAATTTTGTTATCATGCATATAAATGCAAATTCCGGATGGTTTTCCGTGCAGTATAGTGTAATCCTCCCACGCGGGATGTTGCGAGAATTTTTCCGAAATTCGATATTCCTTAGCCTTAAATGACAGTATTCCTTAAGTGACAGTACAGGCTCCTAAACAGCGTCCTAGAAGAGTGTAAAACTACCAAATCGCATGTGTTACAATTTCATGAAGAAACAAAAACATCTAAGAAAACATCAGTGTTGTTTACTAAATTTGCCAATTTTGTTTAGGAGGGAAATATCCGGTTGTTGTCGAGTTTGCTCCGTTTCAAGGAATACCGAAAAAGACGAGAAGACGTAAAGACATAAAATCTGCCACGATCGAAAAAGGTGAAAAATAAAGCATCTGCGGAACATGCATGCTGGACATTTGGTGTTCAGGAAACCACATTCAATTCTAACATTAATTAATTAATTATATCAATTATTGGACGAGGTCGAGCAAAATATCGTGATTTGTCGGTGGCGAGCAGATCAATTATTTGACAAATCACGATATTTTGCGAGAACCGAGTTCAATAATTGTTTTATCATTCACCACTCAATTTTCAATTTTTGTTGTATTATTCACCACTCAATTTTCAATTTTGAGTTCGTTTTATCGGACAGTTCGGCAAAGCGAGTCGCCATTGTTTATAAAATTGACATTAATGCGCATGCTCAGAGTATTATTTGCAGCTGAGTATAAATTAACCAGCTGCAGGTAAATTAACCAATCAAAATTGAGAATACTATAAAGTGAATGATAAGTTACGTTAATTGAGTTATTTTATCGTGATACTCGCTGCAAAACATTTACAAGTTATAGGATTTACAGTACCAATGCAAATTGCAACTTTGAACACGTGCAGAAACTTTGACAGTGTAAACTGGGCCTTATAAATTAGTGATTAACCGTGGGCTGAAGGGAACAGAACTCGTATATAATATCGTTTATGTAACTGGTGTTGTGTGTTTTTAGACTCTGACTATTTGTCGTTTTTGGAAACACTAAAACAAGAGGTGGAACCACTTCCTAGTGCCGAGGTGTACTTGGAACAACAAGAGGCAAACAAACAAAGTCAGAAAGGTGTGTTTTCAAGCTGGGCTGATGCTATTATATTCCTAATTAACTGTAATAGACCTTACAGCGAATAAATCACAACAGGTAAAAAGAGCGTACTAAAATTAGTAAAACTGCAAAGTTTGATTGCGAAATGTTGTGAAATGCGAACAATTTAGCCTTGTTATGTTTATATAACAAAGTATAGCATAGTATAATTGACTTTTTGGATTTACCAACAAATTGCTCAGTTCAAATGTGTGATATTTCGAAACCTAATCTGGTCCGTTCCTGTGTGCTTTAAAGTTTTACGAATAATATATATAAATCAGGTGAATTAATACTCAATTTATATTCACCTTGAAGAGTATTGGACCTGCGGTTTGGGTAGGCAGTACCACCGTGTTCAAGCTATTTCTTTAGCTTTCCCAGTTGGTAACTCAGAGTAGCACCATCACAATACTGTATTACAGTAATTTACCAGAGTCGTACACAAATCAGTACCAGGGTAGAATTAGAAAGTATCTATTAAAACCAGTGTTGATATGTTTTATACAGATGCAAAGATCACAACTCCGCTGATCGAGTATATGAAGATGAAGAAGTCAAGCGGAAAATCTAGGATTTCATCTCAAGTAAGATTTTATAATCTGTATACGCGTATTGATGCATGATGTGTATAAATGGAATATGATGGGGCGCTCTAACTCTTCGTTCGTTGAATTGTCGTATAGCGTCCTCCAATGTCCTCAAATGAAAAGAAAAGAAAGCCACCAAAAGAGAGTGGGAAGGTATATCGTACATTTATATACGTGTCATGCTGCAGGATATTTCCAAAAACAAGTACAGTATGCCTATTGTACTTAATAAGTGCAAGCCAAGTCAGGACAAAACGTTTTGTCATTATACAATCGGGGAATATTGTAGCCAACGAATTCCCGTCCGATTTCAGTGCGATTTCGAAAATGCTCGTATTATCACGATCCATGATTGAAACCTTTGTTCAACCAATCCTATATTTGAGTTCTCTCCTCCAATCAACCAATCTGATTGCAATCTAGAATGCAACTGGCCAATCGATTTTGTGAAATGTGATTAGCCATCATCGGCGACCCGTCGGTCTTGAAAGATTGTAAGGGTGGATTTCCACTGGCTGAAAAAAAGTTCGCTAGCGAAATATTTGCGTATTTTCTTTAGAATTTTAACAGCATGTCTGAATTTGTTCAATATGACTGTTCTCAATTCAAAAGAAAATATGCAAATATTTCGCTAGGCAAATAAAACTGGCTATAGTCAAATAAAACTCCATTTCTTGGTTGAAACAGCTTCTTATCTCTATCACTTGTTATCGGTTTCAAATTTATGTCAGAGCTATAGTTCTTTATAGCTAAGCATTCTTATCGCAAAATTTTGCCTGGTTTCACAGCATTGATTAAATACTGCAGAGTGGTTTTCTATTTTGACAAACTTCTTGAACGCTGATTGGCTAAAATATGACCGAAGATCACCTTGTAAATACATACTTCCTTCCAAAGATTTCACAAACAGTTAAAAGACAGCCATGGAATCATCACGCGAGTGCATTTGAGAGTTACTTCAAGAACAACTAACATGACCATTGACCAATCCAGGCTTATACTTGTACATGGAAGATGCATTGTTTTTCTAAATCGCAATGGCGGAAAACGAAATACAAATAAGGAAAATGCTCGCTACATTTTTTTGTTATACATGAAAAAAAGTACGAACAAATGAGCACTGTTCTGAATATAATAATAGTGTACGTATCTGTCGCTTGTTTTAGGTATTATATCAGCAATATGTGCATGTGTTTGTTCTTTCAGGCAGGGTACAAGAACACCTATCCTGAAAAGGGAGCAAGAGCTCAAAACACAAGCGATAGTTCTAAGAAAGGCAGGTAAGTCGAAGAACTTTATATGCTATATGTATATATCAGTTTCAATTTTAAAGGTTTCGCGATTTAGTTTTGGGTCTTTTCATAGAAGGTTGAACATTGAATTATAAGGGTATCCATGCATGCACCATATTTACATATTTAACAGTCATCTCTAAAAGTTTACTCCCATAGCCCATGCAAAGCTAAACCATACATGCGCTATTAATTTAGCGAAAGAAAACAAGATTCAAGAAAATTTATCAGAGACGAAAACGAGAGAAAACAAGCAACTCCCGCTCAAAGTGGGCAGAAGAAAAACGAAAAATCGCGTGATGGTAAGGACAAAGGAGAAAACGAAGAGAAAGAAAAAACTTCAAACAAGGTAAACACCATGTGCGCTATGTGTAAACACGATGTGCACTGAGTGTATAAAAGCTACAGTATGTGTGTGCTGAATGTAATCACCATGTGCACTGAGTGTAAACGAGAGTCTAAGCGGGTGAAGCGCGCTTCGTTTTGATAAGGTCAGTCACGGCCGCATAAGCAGAATTTCAAACGCTAATAGAAAACAGCCCTAAACGTCACGTGAGCTGACGGTGAACAAATGTGTGTTGGGTCTATAAGCACTTATTTGTATACACTGGGTGTAAAACTTTGTACACTGAATTGGCCTGCAACTTGTAACCATATGCACACCGTTGTTATTTTAGATGTTATTTTTGTCATTAGGGTTACATGCCTCGCAAATTCAACGAGAAAAGATTAACACGTCGCGAGACAAGTTATTTCACGATGCAGCTTAGAGATATAACCGCTTGTCTTAAGGCGTTGATTTTATCCCCCTTTATAGAACAGGCCCTCTTCGGCGAAGACGTGGAAAGAAAGCAGGCAACAGCCTGAGAGTCAAAGGTATGTTTTAAATTTTTCATTAAATGCTCGACGTGCTCTCGCAAGGGCTAGCTAGTCCTTTCAACATGGCTTCCGCGCTCCACTGCATGGACATTCTATGCATTTCCATCATAAATATTTTGATATTTCGTTGTTATATATAGATCTGGTTCAAATGCCTCCCGTGCATCTTCATCTTATCGCCACACCAGAAGAGGTATATATACATTGACAAGACCAAACCATGCTACACATAGATTAGAATGTTATTTATGTTTAATGTAAGTGATCTGCTATGATAGCAACTATGGCTTAAGACTATTGCTTTGCAATTCTTTCTCTCTTTCGTCGGAAAATATGGAATTGGGAAGGTACGAAAGGTAGCTAGAAGCTTAATTGGGGGTGTGTATTTTTATATATTTGTCTTATGCCCGACTATTTCTTTTGTACGCTATTGTTCTAAAAGTATATAAACATGAATATATGAATATACACCCCCCCCCCCAATTAAGCGGTCTAGCTACGGCCCTGGGTAAATCCAAGGAACATAAAAGGAGGATATAGTATAAAAGTACATTGCCAAGAAAAACCTTTTCGTCTCTTTTACCCCAAGTTTATTTATTTAAACTTCTTTATAAAAACGGCGGGCCTTCGTTCAAAATGATTTTCAATTGCCCGTTAAGGAAAAATGTATCTTTCATATCTTTATCCAGTTCTTGATCTTGGAAATTCGTAGATTGTGCTTTCATGTATTTTAGCATGCATGAAAACGAAAGCGTGCCTTAATGTAAAAAGGCGAAAAATCAAAAACGGTAACGTTTTCGAGCGTTCTCATTTTCGTTTTCATGCCAAAACGGTTTCAAACAGCATCAATTTACAATAGTTGAAGCTAATTTAACATACAGTATTGAGCATATTTTCCCTTGGATCGTGTGGACGCGTCAAAGAAATAAAAAAGATAAACACGCGGTTTTGAAAACTTTCGGAAATGACGCTCGCGTGTGCACACAGCCTAACATCCCTGTTTTTTGGTACCATTAGAATTTCCTATGCAATAAAAATGAATCTTCCTTTTTTAATATTATGACTTTGGTACATTAAATTCTCAAAATTAATTCTAGGTACGAAGGATACTGACAAACCCAGGTCTGAATCGCGGCCATCAACCGCTTCTAACCCATCGAGCGAGAAGAGTGAAGAACGAAAACCACAGAAACAACAAGCAGACAATAAAGAAAGAGTTCGAAACAAGGTTATGACGCGCGTGCATGCATGTATTCTCGTAGTGGGGAACCAGCACTTAGAACAGATCCCGCACTTAAACAACATGTATACAAAATGGAGAGGAAAACGTGCTTCGAAAAAATACATCTTGTAAACTCAAGGTATGAGTTATATAAAACAAAACAAGACCGCAAATTGTTGTCTTGTATTATATAACTCCTATATCTTGTCTTGAGTTTAGAAGATGTGGTTTAGCATGTTTCTTCCCTGTATTTCATCATATTGTCTGCTGGCAAACAGGCAAAGGTTGTTTTTAACCAATGCTCAGCAACAAAATTACTGGTGCAAAAATTGGTTTTAGTGTTCTCTTACTGCGCAGCTGAGGATTGGTAGAAAAGCCCTTGTAATGTATTGCGAATAAATAGGTCTCTTGATAGTCATAACGCCAAGCGAACGACATATTAATTATTTGTATTGATTATTGTACGTCGATCTGTTCGCAGGATCGACCAGCTCAAGCAATCTACCAGCCTCGACCAAGACCGCGTTCCAACGCTGAAGAATCCACACCGAGAAATTCAGGTAAAGTCTAGTTAAACAGTCGATGTGGTCTGTTTTGATTGTGTTTTGTTTAGTGTACCATCTAAAAAAGTGAGCAACAGCGTGATAATCTTTATACTTTTTGCAAAAATGTCGTCGGACGTACTATATAAGAACGACGTTAGAGCAAATGACAAGTCAGGCAGCACAAATCTCCAGAAACACATATCTGCATACATAGTGTAGTATTGTTTATATAAATGTTCCTCGTTACATAGTATGAATGCTAGTTGGAAATATTATGAAAGTTTACAATATCCATTCTAAACAAGGTCAAATTCAATCATGATATATTTATATTGTTGATGGAATTTTAGCTCGTCAAGCGGGTAAGGAACAGGGAAGAGTTTATCGTGACACTCCGGGAAGAGATCGGGATAACTCACAACGAAGTCGTAATCGAGACTATCGCGATAACAGTCGGCGACAGAATCGAGACGGCCAAAAGATTGCAGAAAAATCGGATGACACCAACAGGGAGCAGACCAGCGGCTCTTCTGGGACAACTTAATGTTATACACCTGAACGCCTTGTGAATTTTATTTTCATTAGTTTTTCAGGATTTATTATCTTGTGTTTAAGTTATTCTTATTGCTGTGCCACTAAATTTGTGGGGGAAAAATGGCATGTACGAAACGGAGAATGGATATGCATTTTACAAGAATGAGATATCGTTTGAAGGGCGGTTTTTTACTCATGCAGGAGCTAAGAAAATTAATTTATTTTGCTATTTGCCTGCAAAATCGCATTTCTCTTCATCTTCTTCCTGGAATATCCAGAGTTATATGGATACCTGTTTTTTTAATTGTTTATGTTTATGTTGATGTTAAGAAATATTTATGTTTTCACAAAAAATCCATCCCTGCATGTGTAGATATGTTCAGATGTTCTACTCCTTATACTGTAAACTAAACAGAAGTCATCTCCTTTTTTATCCAGCAACCGATGTTTTGATTATTTCCTTTGATCATGACGATCTCTACACTCCACCCTTGCTTGAAACTCTTACATGAAACTCTATTTTTTGAGCCAAATTTTTTTCAAGGCGAGAATACTAACTTACAATATGCGATGGGAAATTGTTTGTGCACTTGTTGCGTTGTTCACTCATATATTTTAGGGCTTGTTTGACGGTTGTGAAGGGGTGAGCCGTGAAGAAGAGTTCTGCAAATTGTTTCAAAAAAATTTGTGAAATGGCACAATAGTCAATCAACCCAGTATCACCATACTATCACCATATTTCCATGGTTATTGGAACACCAGTGTTGGATTTACAAAAAACGACGAGCATTTGCGAAATGTATAGTAACAACAATTATGCAATGATAATGCTTTTGTACTGATTATCTATTGTGTCTTATATACATTAGGCACAAAAGCAGACGTTTGAATCAGCGTTATTTGCCGGGGCACGTGACCTTTCTATTCAACATTAACTTTCGCTGACAGTTCGTCAACTGCTTACGGAACATGTCGCAACATGTATACTGCATGATCTTTATTTATTATTATACCTCTTGTACAAATATAGTTTTCTGCGAAATTTAGTGTTGATATAATTGTTCATTTCTTATATAGATAATTTTATATGCCCATTTGGTGTTCATCTTTATCCAGTTGTCCGTTGAAACGATATACCTATATCGTTACAACATTGTCATCAGTGATCTCGGCGAGAAATTCTGTGCACATCTCGTCGGCAGCTGCTTTCTCCGAAGATTTTATCTCAATCTTTGCTACCAAGTTAGTGCTCGGGGCAAATGACGGCACTTCCAAAGAGACAGTCATAACTGTTTCTTTTCCAGATGGGATAGGACAGGTTAGACCGTGATGCGTGCAAATGTTTGAGTCCGTAATCGGGAACGGTAACGTTGTCCCACCAATTATCGCATGAAGAAAAATAGTACCATTCGAAATTTGCGCTTTTGTCGTTATACTGAAATTACCGTGGTACGTCTTGCCTTTGTCGAAAATACATGGCTTTGTTTTGCCGTCTTCGCAATCGAAGTCCAATTTCGTCACCTTTATCGTCTCCGATCCGCAGTCTTTAAAAGGTACAACGAAGGCGCTCGCGTAGATATTCATGATGCAAAGAATGAAGAATGTAAGACAGAAGCGTGGCATCTTCGGTAATTCGTCTGAAACACTCGATAAATTTCCCAACTCGACAATACCGCGACTCGACGTAAATAATATGCTTCGGTTGTTGCGCACTGGGATAAAAATAAAATGGCCTGACAAAGTGATACAGGATAATTTGAATGACCTTGACTGGCTTGACATCGCGTCATCAGGTGATCACGCTACCTGTGACGTCTTCTAAATTCGATGACAATTTCAAACTCGTTTCCGTCTTGCGTGTCAGCAGAGGACCAAGAACCAGAGGTAACTTTTGTAAAATATGATGAGCATCGAGTCGAGTGTTTCACCTGAATACAAAAATATAAAATTATCAATACATTAGTGAAATAGAAACCTTGCTGTGTTTGGCTGGCCGATAAGAAACGAGCTAGAGTTGTTGGTACGACTTCTCAAATGACATAAGATGATTATGATATATAAACAAAACCAAATTGGCGCTAGCTTTGAAGTGTTTTGAAAAGTAGGTGTCGATTTACCCTATTCTATTTTTATATATATATATATATATATATATATATATATATATATATATATATATATATATAGATATATATATATATTTATATATATATATATATATATATATATATATATATATATATATATAAACGATGAATCAAACGAAAAGTTTTATTAACTAGGGTTGTTACAAAAGTTGTCCATTTCTATCTTTGGTGTGTTTAGTGTTGGTAACTATGGTGACATCAAATAGATAGTGATATGGGATTAATAAAGGTTAATGGTATCTAAAGTAAGATTTCAAACAATTGCAAGTGCATGTTCTATGCAAATAACGACATTACTTGAATGCGGATGTTCTCGGCAGATGCAAATAACGATATCACTTGAATGCAGAATTCTGGTAACACTCTAAAATACCTCTAGTGTGTCTGTGAAATTCAACAGGACCGGTCTGGCCGCTTTTATCTAGGGGCGCCGCAAGAACGGTGGCATGAATGTTCATATTTTCGCGTCTGCATAATTGTTTTCACGATCGTTATTGCGGCGCCCCGTATCAAGAAAAGCGTTCTTGGGTCTAGCTTGGGAAAGTAAAAATCTTGGCTAAATGCCTACATTTTTGACTAGGCGATTTGTGCGAAAGCTGGATCATGGACAGCGATCGTTAAATGGGGGTTGGGAGGCTAATATTCATATGTTCGTCAGTAGCAGACCGTAAAAATAGTCAATTACAAAACGAGCTAATAATGTTGAACGTGGTTATATGGATATTTGCCCCCCACTTAGCGATCTTTCGTCGTATACCTTGATGACCTTGCATGTGGATAGCGCTATCCACCGGACGTTGCTTTTAACGTTAACCTGGATTCAACCTTAGTATACCTTAGGAATTCTCTTTCATAACTATTTTGGCTCAAAATGTAATTTCATAGTGATAAAATAATGCAAAGACTCAGGTGTGTATATTAAATGTATATGTGATGTTGCTACTCTGAGTCACCAACCGGGCAAACTGAAAAATTAGCTTCCCACCGTGGTTACATTTGATGAAACAACTGAAAAAATGGGTTGCTTTATTATGTTCATTACTATCGTCTTCCCGCCAGGGAGAAACCAGTTTGGCAGGTTTTCATATCATTTCAAAATCCGTGATTATACTAATCTCGATCAATCAGCATTTTTTCATGCTAATAAGAAGATCATTAACCAAATTGCGGATGCGCATTATTTTGTTTTCTTTTCTGTCGTAAAATAAGCTCAAGACGACAGGCAACATTATTCCACAACTTTAATTCAAGCCCAATTGTCCAAAACCACATTTATTACCACATTCATTATTATAGTTTTCGTGTCATCCTTTTGCATTTTTCTCTAAGCACATTCCTTCTCTCTCTCTTCTTTTGTAGGTTAGTTTTCTGCGCGTTTGTTACGTAGCGATTTACAGAGGCGAACTCGACGAAGACGGAGAACACAAGAATAAAGGAAAACGCTGTAGAAAGAAATCCACGCACGTATGGCTATCATGTATAATTTATGGCACTTTAGTCAAAGCTGATTGCCAAACTCCAAACATGAGCGTTGTCATCGCTAAGAGGGTAGTAATTCCAAGCGCAACACACCCTGGTACTGAGTTGCATGATCATCTATTGTGTTATACATTTAATTGGCACAAAAACAGACGTTTGAATCAGCCCTATTTGCCGGAGCACATGACCTTTCTATTCAACATAAACTTTCGCTGACATGCAGTTCGTCGGCTGCTTACGGAACATGTTGCAACATGTTTATATATACTGCTTGGTATACTGCATGATGGTTATATAGTTTGCACTAAATATATAGTTTGCTGCGAAATTTAGTGTTGATATAATTGTTCATTTCTTATAGAGATATACGGCAGTCTAAACGTCTGCTTAAGCCTTTCCGATAATTGAAGCTTTACAATATCGTCATTTATGAAGCTAGCAATTTACGTAATTTAGATAAATTGCAGAATTACTAATACTTTTAATCTCAAGGAACTTGCCGAACATGCGCACTAAAAAGGTGGGTACACGAGTTCCAGCTCTGTATTTAATTTTTACCCTTTGCTTAATAAAAACCCAACGACTGCGACTTTTGGATGATGGCATTATTGGCGTGGGCAAGCAAAACGCGAGAATGACGGATCTCAAATTCGTTGTCGTACTCGTAGAAAACTGAATGAAGCAGAAATTAAGAAATGTGTCCAGGAAGATTTTTCTCCATGAAGATTCAAATCTACCGATTTTCGCGGCACTTGCCAACTACAAAGAGTTAATGCCCGATCTGGAACTTTACCAAATGTTAGCAGCTGGTTTGTTGCATATAGGAGAGCAAAAGATGCGTGATGGAGTTCTATTTTGCAACTTTTTCGTCAGTATTCTAAAAGCACACCCTCACTCAAACTTATTGAGTGGAAGATCTTATTGATCTTGTCGTGAGGATTCCATTACGGTATTTTCACTCGGATGAGAGTTTGATTTTCAGTGTTTCATCACCTTGAATCTATATTCGCTGAATAAAAAAGCGCTCTAACATTGATCAGTATAATAAAAAAACATGCAGGCGTATCTCCCACAGCATATTTGCTTAACATACTTTATACCTTTTTCTTTTTCTGCATGATATACGGTATATGAACATATACATTTAATTTTTATCCATGCAGGTATAAACGGTAAAACCATGCAGATTATTTATTGTGACTTATATACATTTGACACACAAGCAGACGTTTGAATCAGCGTTATTTGCCGGAGCACATGACCCTTCTATTTATAATATTCTTTTATTTAGTAGTAATCAATAATACGAAGTTAACAAAAATTACAAAATCCCAGTCTATGTGTTACGTGCTCTTCTTCTATATATCAATGCTCTCACTATATTATTAGTATACTGCATGATCGTTATTTATTATTACACCTTTTGTACAAATATAGTTTTCTGCGAAATTTAATGTTAATATAATTGTTCATTTCTTATATAGGTAATTTTATATGCCCATTTTGTGTTCATCTTTATCCAGTTGCCCGTTGAAACGATATACCTATATATTGTCACATCATTCTAATCAGCGGATCTGGGCGAGAAATTCTATGCACATCTCATCGGCAGCTGCTGAAGATTTTATCCCAATTATTGCCACCAAGTTAGTGCTCGGGGCAAATGACGGCACTTTCCAAGCCATAGTCATAACTGTTTTTGTTCCAGATGCGATAGGACAGGTTAGACCGTGATTCTTGCATATGTTTGGGTTCGTAAGCGGGAGCGCTATCCTTACGCCACCAATTATCACGTGAAGAACAATGTTACCATTCGGAATTACCGCTTTTGTCGTTATACTGAAATTACCGTGGTACGTCTTTCCTTTGTCGAAAATACATGGCTTTGTTTTGCCGTCTTCGCAATCGAAGTCCAATTTCGTCACTTCTATCGTCGTCGATCCGCAGTCTTTAAAAGGTACAACGAAGGCGCTCGCGTAGATATTCATGATACAAAGAATGAAGAATGCAAGACAGAAGCGTGGCATCTTCGGTAATTCGTCTGAAACACTCGATAAATTTCCCAACCCGACGTAAATAATTTGCTTCGGTTGTTGCGCACTGGGATAAAAATAAAATGGCCTGACAAAGTGAATCGTGGCAAAAACAAAGTGGCCTGACATCGCGTCATCAGGTGATATCACGCTGCCTGTGACGTCTTCTAAATTCGATAAAAAATTTCAAACTCTTTTCCGTTCTGCGTGTCATGGTGTCAGCAGTGGACCAAGGTTATTCTTGTAAATTATGAGCATCGAGCCAAGTGTTTCACCTGAATACAAAAATATAAAAATTATAAATACATTAGTGAAATCATGGGTGTCAGCAGTGGACCAAGGTTATTCTTGTAAATTATGAGCATCGAGCCAAGTGTTTCACCTGGATACAAAGATATGAAAATTATAAATACATTAGTGAAATCATGGAAAACTTGCTGTGTTTGGCTGGCCGATAAGAAACGAGCTAGAGTTGTTCGTGCGACTTCTCAAATGACATATCAATAATGATATATCAACAAAACCAAAGCTCCTTAATTAAAAAGAGAGATACCAGATATTAATTTTTTCAAGTCTAAGTGCCGAAAGGAACAATGTATAATCTACATTGGCGCTAGCTTTGAAGTGTTTTGAACAGTAGGTGTGGATTTACCTTGACTACCTTATTCTAATGCTGTGTTTACTGTTAAAGGGAACAACTTATTTGTATATATATATACCCAGGCCTAAGCAATTATAAATTGTTCCTTCTTTTATTTACAATATGCACATAAGCTTGGTATGTCGTTTTGCAGAGGCATAAGCTAGCTAACTAGGCTATATAGCACTGTCGGTTTAAATTCAAGAATGGCTTGGCAACAAAATTATGATTTATCTTGTTTTGAAAAATTCAAGGGATGCAATCTTAAGGGTCTCGATCTCTAAACTATCCGGGATTTTTTCTCTCCCAGAAATATGTAATGAACGATAGAATCAAACGATGAATCAAACGAAAAGTTTTATTAACTAGGGTCAAGTTAGTTATCTTGTTTACAAAAGTTGTCCACTTCAGGCACTTCTATCTTGGGTGTGTTTAGTGTTCGTCACCATCAACAGTTTTACTAAAAATAACTTGCAGATGGTGATATGGGATTAATAAAGGTTAATGGTATCTAAAGTAAGATTTCAAACAAGTGCATGTTCTAGGCAGATGCAAATAACGACATTACTTGAATGCGGATGTTCTCGGCAGATGTAAATAACGATATCACTTGAATGCAGAATTCTGGTGACACCTCTATATAGTGTGTCTGTGAAATTCAACAGGACCGGTCTGGCCGCTTTTATCTAGGGGCGCCGCAAAAACGGTGGCATGCAATGTTCATATTTTCGCGTCTGCATAATTGTTTTTACGATCGTTCTTTGCGGCGCCTCGTATCAAGGAAAGCGTTCTTGGGTCTTGCTTGGGAAAGTAAAAAGTTTTGGCTAAATGCCTAGATTCTTGACTAGGCGATTTGTGCGAAAGCTGGGTCAAGGACAGCGATCGTTAAATGAAGGTTGGGGAGGCTAATATCAATTTCAAAACGAATTTCAAGCACCTTTAAAACGGTTAGAAAAATCACTATCCGGTAGATAGCGCTATGCAGCTTTTGTAAGATGTGGAAATTCTGCATGAGTAGAACTTGCTAGCTTTAAATTGGATCGGATACTTTTAAAACATTAATTTAAACAATGTCTTAGTTTGTCTCAGATTCACTTCTTTTTAATGAATTACATTTGATGAAAACAACTGAAAAAATGGGTTGTTTATGTTCTTACTATCGTCTTCCCGCCAGGCGAAACAGGGTTTGACAGGTTTTCACATCATGGCAAATCCGTGATTATACTCCTTTCGATCAATCAGCATTTTTTCATGCCAATAATAAGATCATTAATCAAATTGCGGATGCGCATTATTTTGTTTTCTTTTCTGTCGTAAAATAAGCTCAAGACGACAGTCAACATTATTCCACAACTTTAATTCAAGTCCAATTGTGCAAAACCACATTTATATTACCAAACTCAAACCATAGGCAGCCCGGTCAATGCGTACCTATTATCTTATGTACATAATTATCCTATATATATAAGATAGTATGCGGTACCCGCATTGACCGGGCTGCCTATGCTCAAACGTGACGTGTTCGTCACATGGTTTACAACATTACAAATTTTAACAAGGCAGATAGAAACAGTTTTCGTGTCATTCTTTTACATTTCTCTCTAAGCACTTTCCTTCTTTCTCCCTTCTTTTGTAGGATAGTTTTCTGTGCGTTTGTCACGCAGTAATTTACAGCGGCGAACTCGACGAGGGCGCGGAGAATACAGAAATATATGGCAATTTAGTCAAGGCTGATTGCCAAACTCCGCCAAACATGACTGCAGCAGACGTTTGAATCAGCCCTATTTGCCGGAGCACATGACCTTTCTATTTAACATAAACTTTCGCTGACAGTTCGTCAACTGCAGTGCTTACGGAACCTGTTGCAACATGTATATATACTGCTTGATATATACTGCATGATCGTTCTATAGTTTGCACTAAATAATTTTTCTGCGAAATTTAGTGTTGATATAATTGTTCATTTCTTATATACTGATAATTTTATATGCCGACTTAACTTGGTGTTCAACTTTATTTTCTCTATCCAGTTGTTGGTTGAAACGATATACCTATATCGTTACATCATTTTCATCAGTGATCCGGGCGAGAAATTCTATGCACATCTTATCGGCAGCCGCTTTCTCAGAAGATTTTATCTCAATTTTTGCCACCAAGTAAGTGCTTACGGGAATTGACGGCACTTTCAAGGAGATAGTCATAACTCTTTCTGTTCCAGATGGAATAGGATAGGTTAGACCATGATCCGTGCAAATGTTTGGGTTCAGAGGCGGGAACGGCAACCTCTGGCCAATGATGGCGTAAAGAAAAATAGTACCATTCGAAATTACCGCGCTTGTTGTTATGCTGAAATTACCGTGGTACGTCTTGCCTTTGTGGAAAATACATGGATTTGTTTTGCCGTCTTCGCAATCGAAGTCCAATTTCGTCACCTCTATCGTCGTCTATCCGCAGTCTGGTACAACGACGGCTCTCGCGTAGATATTCATGATGCAAAGAATAAAAAAATGTAAGACAAAAGCGTGGCGTCTTCGCGGTAATTCATCTGAGACACTCGATAAACTCTTTTGGATGATGGCATTATTGGCGTAAGCATGCAAGCAAAACGCGAGAATGACGGATCTCAAATTCGTAGTCGTTGTCGTAGAAAAAATGAAGGAGAAGAAATGTGTCCAGGGAGATTTTTATCCATGAAGATTCAAATTTACCGATTTTCGCGGCACTCGCCAACTAGAAAGAGTTAATGTCCGATCTGGAACATTCCCAAATGTTAGCAGCTGGTTTGTTTCATAGGAGAGCAAAAGATGCGTGATGGAGTTCTATTTTGCAACTTTTTCGTCAGCTCATTCTAAAGTTCACCCTCACTCAAACTTATTGAGTGGAAGATCTTATTAATATTGTCGTAAGGATTCCATTACGCTATTTTCACTCGAATGAGAGTTTGATTTTCAGTGTTGTACCTTGAATCTATCTACTAAATAAGAACTAGCTGAGCGCTTTAACATTGATCAGTATAATAACAAAATTTCTGTCACACTCAATGAATGTGAGTGAACTTTTAGAATTCCATTGTATCTCCCACAGTATATTTGCTTAACATACTTTATACCTTTTTCTTTTTCTGGTATACGATATATATGAATATATACATTTAATTTTTATCCAGGTACAAATAGTAAAACCAGTAGACTAGATTGAACAGTGCAAACAGACGGGAAATATGGTGCGCGAGTGATAGTCGATGGCATTCGCTGAAACTTTTTTCATCAGCAATTTAATTTCTTTTTCATAACTGCCAGAGAACGACTCTTCCTTCAGAAGTTGTTCCGCTGTTCGATCTTCATTGTACGGGCTGGCATCTGGTGAACCGCTGTACGTGCTGGCAGGTACACTGCCGCCGAGATCACCTGGATTCATACCAAGGGCCACCAGATCCTCGTCGTCCGCATGCATACCCAAAACCAACTGACCAATAGTTTGAAACTTGGGATTCTAAATACAGAGCGCATAACAAAGAAACTTCTATATATGTATACATAATACAAATCCTTTAAATGAAATGTTATCCGCGCTCTGCAAAAAAGGTTGTTAAAACAAGCATTTCGAAATTGGTTGTCTCACCCTTTTGCATTTTTCTCTCAGTACTTTCCTTCTTTCTCTCTTCTTTTGTAGGATAGTTTTCTGTGCGTTTGTCACGTAGTAATTTACAGCGGCGAACTCGACGAGGGCGGCAAACACACAAATAAAGGAAAACGCTAGAAACAAATCCACGGCCTTCATGTAAGGCACTTTAGGCAAGGCTGATTGAACTCCAAACATGAGCGTTGTCATCGCTAAGACGGTAGTAATTCCTAGCGCAACACGCGCTGGTACTGAGTCGCTGTCTACCCAGAATGACACCTGAATTGACGCATAGACGAATGATGTATATTTCATCATAACTGACTAAGTAACTTATTATAAATTAGTTTTTTTAGATCTCATTTAGGTTCACAAACATTTTTTCCTCTTGGCGGGGAAATCTTCTGATCATTTGCGTATAATGAAGAGATTGGAAAAACTTTAGTTGGTCTCAGTACACATTCAGCGATATGTTTTACTTTCAGAACAGTCAAACTGAATTCAACAAGGGGGAATTTTGTTTGGAAATAAGCGTCCCATTTGTTTACATTTTACAGGTTAAGCCAATCAGAACGCCTGAATTTTTAATACTTCATGTAAAACGGTTAATAATGTCCTTTTTCCAGGAAGTGGTCAATATTCATGCATTCTGATTGGGTTACTGAAAATGTAAACAAATTTGCTGATTGTTTAAAAACGAAATTCCTCCTTGTTACTAAACTCACCCAGGAGAGCATGACGACCATCACAGCAGGCAAATACATTTGAATGATGTAATAAAGAAATCGTCGTTTCAAATGGAGTTCAATGATAACTCCGGAATAATCACCTTGAAGTAGAAGTGGAATTTATAACTATTTGAAGTGTAGTTAAGCGATAGAATTCAATGTCTACATGAACACTTTTAAAATCTAAGGGCCTGTTTACATGGAGCGAGTTATCCTGGCTAGGCGCGAGGTGACCGAAACTGCATATAACGAAAGAAGGTTAAGCCTTTGATATGATGCGCCTTTCACCTCGCCACCCGGGATAACTCGCTCCATGTAAACAGGCCCTAAATATATTTCCAGATGTCACTGAACAAATGCGTCCATGTCCAGAAGCTGAGGAACAATAACAATAATACATCATGTGAATTTTGATCGCAAAGTTTTGTTTACAGCATACTAAGGTAGCCCACAAACCTGTTTCGTATGAACTGTTCTTTTCAAAAACTCTGTAACCTTCCAATGTGAACTGTGACATTGAGAAATCCTCCGGGAATTTTACTGAATCTTTGGCTTCACTCGAACTCCATCTGTACACGACATCTCTCGTTGAAAATCCATCTATAGTTCAACAAGATTGCTTTTTTCTTAAAGCAGTACTGAGTATACTTACCAATCGAGAATCGCAATATAGTAAAGCCAGATTTGGGCGTATACATATTGGGCGTATACATATATAATTAAGCCATAGCGATCAGAACTTGGATCAAACTGTACTGAAGGGAAATCAGTTTGATTTTTGAATTTTATACCACAAATTATTGCGGCTATATGCATCAGGGCAGTGAAGTTGAAATGCATTATTTCTGTATACAAGTACTAAAGAATATATTAATATTAAACTTTAGGTATAATGCAGGACAATATATACAGTAAATGCATGCATACATCCATGTTTGAGCACTTACAACTCTGAATTGAAAAGTTGCACTTTTGTTCATCTAGAGGAAAGGATATCAGATGCATGCTGCACGAGCTTAACACTGTATTCCTGGAAAAAAATATTTTATGGCTTACAACTCATACTTTTCTTGCGATCTGCACGTTTAGGTACTGCAATAGTCTATATGCACCTTTTTTTTCAAATCTTACATGTGGTTTTTACGACAAAACATACCTCATGCATTAGAAGGATTGAGTATTCTTTTTGCAGTTGCCGACAATGTTTCTTTGCACAAAGAGAGTGCCATGTGTTTATAACTACCTCAACGATTTCGATACATATAAGCATAATAATTCGGAATTCGGATGTGCAAAGAATAAGCAACGCTCCTATATGAAGCCGGTTGTATCAAGCGCGTTTAGCTTAAACGGCAATGTGCTAAGTTGAAAACAAAAGCAAGGCTAATTCGTTTTATTCAACAAACGAACTAAATGCTTTTTGACCGTAAAATATCGATATACTGTTTACAACTACATATTCAGTGCATAATATTTAAAGTGAATCATTCAAGAGAGATGTCAGAGTGTTGTTTGATTTTGACTTATCCACCGTTTAAACTAAACTTACTTGATATAACAGGTTCCTGGTTGTTTGAGCTTGGATCTGCGTGCATCGGGTAATTATATGTGACCAGCTATGGCGAAAACTGTACATTTTTCCCAGCAAATCAATGGTCTCAATGGAAACAATCGCGTAATAGAGCATTGCTTGTTATATAGTGTAGTAAAAAGTAATTGTATATTGGTAATATTATATAGAACAAATGTATTGAACCTGTGGGGCGGGTGAACATTTTAATTTTTCCTACCTCGTACTTAATATCAATTTTCCGGTTCTGTATAAGGTAAGGTAGAAATTCTTGCTTTGCAGCTGACTTTTTGTCTCGTACTCGAAATAGGTATCCGGTAACCAAATTTGGGAGAGTATGGGAGCACCCATTGTCACAAAATCACGCTTGTAATGACAACCATATGCCAACCTTGGGTCGTGCCAGATTTGTCGAAAAAACATCGTCGTCGTGAATTCCTGGAAATATTGAGTTAAAAACATGCACTGAGAATAAGGTGGTTGTTCCGTCGCTCCACCCAGTGACAGACACAAATAATGCTATGCTTTGCTTGTGGCAAAATGAAATGCCATGCTCCTTCGGGCTGGCCTTTGCCTTACAATTACCGAAATTGACTATAATATTATCATTATCATAGTGTTTCAGCATGATAAAGCCAGACATTTTAACGTCGCCATAAAACCTTGAGTATTAGTAATCAGATATTAAAACACCCTAGTTATGCAAAAGGCCCGACCATTTTAGGCATGCAATAGCATGCAATAGCTATATTGTTGGAAGATTTGCGTTCCGCGTATACCAAAAATGACCAATGCAAATTTCTAATATGTATAGCCGAAGTAAAGACTGGGCGTATATCAGGTGATTACACAAGACATGTGGTGCACAGATGCATGAAAGGATGTCGATCAAGTTAAGACAGCAATTTGTATGTGTACCTATATAATGTTCATACACCGTCTAACAATTTTGCAGTTACTGTATGTTCCCTTTCAGTGAATTGAGGGTGGCCTTATTAACCAGTAAAGGTTTATCCTCGCTGACTGATGTTCCTGCACGTAGAGAGCAGGCCAAGTATGTGATAGATCTGGCCATGATCCACATGCAGTCCTTATCTATACAGTCCATATTCTCCTATACTTCTCACAATGACACGTACTTCGTACATGTTATTACTTTCGTCCTTTACCAAAGACCAAGTTGTGGATTTCTTTTCTTTCCTCAGTCTCTGACTGTGCAGACCGAGATCCTTAGACATAGAAATCCCGTTACAATCTACCAGTCGAATGAGTCGATGTTTTGAGTGTAGAAAATTATTCCAGGTCATTCCCAGAAAAATACGGTATTATTAGAAAATTATATTAAGCGTCTTGACGGTTATCTCTCGTGCATGCGTAGGAGAAAGTGAATGTTTGTAACTCGCCCCCAATAATCCTCCACCAGATGGTAATCATGATATGCATGTACACACTTTATCCTTCATTTCCCTACTTGCATGCATGCACTCGTTTAAAGCAGTCCGCCTGAAACAATAATTCAAGAGCAGCAAGAGCAGCTTTTAGCAACAACTAGTTTGTCCAACAAATAGTTTATTGTTTGTCATTTGGAACCACGAGTTATTACATCTCATTCTCTTACATGGAGGATTTAGGAAGCACGTGTACGCTTCTACGTATACGAGTCGAAAATACAACTGAACCACTTGCGCATGCACAGTCCATTGTAGAAAGAGATGATTATTAAAAACTCATTGTGTAAAGATATATGTATACATTAGGTTTTAGAAATCATTTGTCCTACACCATATATTAATGAAGAATTTTCACTGAAACTCTTATTCGATTAAACATGCAATCTAAAGGAATTGTATTAGCTACAGTCTAATATGCATGAGAACTTAGTTTGCTGCACGCTCTTTGCTAATCTTGTGTCTTGTCTAATCAGCAAATTTTCTATCGATCATTACTTCACATGCAGATAAGTTGTTGGCTTAGGAACCGTGGAGGTCATAGATGCACAGCGGGGATATTTACAATTTGTCGGGGGAAGTTCAATCAGTGAACTCTCGCGAATCACATTTGCGTGGAATGACTATATATGTACTAGTTATTATTATTATACTAGTTACTACTCCAAGTTATTCTTACCATGTCCAATTCATCAAACGACCCTAACGCAGTGATATACGTGTTGACTTTAACGGTCATTGGCTCTCTATCTATATAATACAGAGCAAAACATTTACCTTTAGAAATATATTTTTCTGAGAAATTGATGGGCACCTTCGTAACGGACGAAGTGACGGATAAATTTCGATTTCTAGATATAATTTTTCAATATGGCCACCATTCTCGATGGGTCTATTAGTGACACTAGCTCCTCCCTTATAATGCAATCATTTTTCTGAAGACACTTAATTTAAATGTGTGTTGCATATATATTTCTTTTCCATCATTTCAACAATGAACTTACGTGCATGATTATAGCCATAATTTCCATGGCTAACCCCGGGATAACTATGGAAATAGGACTTTTTTGTGAACAGTGCATGCGGCTTTTTTTTATTTGCATGGGCAGGGTTTTTATATACAATATATTACTTTCAAAGAATGGTCTTATTCTCCTGTCATATCCCTCCAAAAGATGGCTCATCAAGTCTGTGATGTTCCTCGCAACCCAAAACCGATCATGATTCTCGTCATCTCGTACATCGCATTTCTCTGACACCGTTTTTTGATCGTTATTTTCAGGGTAAATCTTTTCCAAAATTTTGCTGGATACTGTGGTCGTGCCGTTGTCTATACTTCTGCGTGATAATGAATAACATCATAGCTATATATTATACAATCAGGAACGAAAATACATACGAAATATATAATATTAGTAGATGTCACAGTACCTTGCGCTGACAACACCAAGTAACATGAAAAATACGCAGTACATTGTCGTTATTATCCTCTTTCTTCAATGGAAATGACTATAATAAAATATAATGTAATATAAACATATGTATCATGCATTATTAATCGCCAGGTTTGACGGCACTGAAAAATGGGACTGTGACTTTTTGGCTACAGCGAAAGGTCTCGATATACAGTAGGAGGCAAAAGTTTGAGTCCAGTCGTTGTAGAATTCCAGTATTAAATCCTGGCAGCGTATTGGAGTTAAGACATGCGTGCTAGTGTTTCAGTACTGTAAACTATATTAATTGCACACTGTTTTGGTCCTAATGATCTAAATTATAACAAAATAAAGTTCTCATTCCTTTACACTGCCCAAGATGGGTAGGAAAAAGGGCAAAGTGATGGTGCACAAGGACAAATAGTTCCATTAAGTATTGAAGGATTCTTTCCTCGTAAGATCGCAGAAGAAGTGAGAATTTAAAAAGGTGGTATGCAACTAACCTTGGAGAGGTTCGAAGAAACTAAATCCTACTCAAGCAAACTTTTAGCTGCTTTGGTCATGCTCGGTTTGGCAATATTGAAAGATTTAATAGGATTCTAATTAAAGAAAAGTATCATCCAATTCTTCAAGGACATGGAATTTCATCTGGTACAAAGATGATCGCAGGTCTAACTACATGATAATCACCCTAAGCACATGCACATCTTCTATGTGCCAGAAATCGTTTAGAAGCAAACTCATTCTGGTGATCTCGTTGTCATGGCTTTCCACCTCATATTCCAGATCTAAAACCTATGGAGCACTTGTAGAACCGTTTTAACCGGAAGAGGGCGAGGCACAGACCCGCCAGCCAGGCTGACTTGAGGCAAGTGGTCAACGAATGCTGGCAAGGTATTGAACGTGTGACATTAAAAAACCTATGGAATCTATGCGAGCAAGAATAAAGGTCATTTCAAGAGCAAAAAAGAGGGAACTAAGCAATGACATGTAAATGCATGTTTGCACATTAAAATACGTAAAAATGAATATCATAACATCTCATAGTTGTTGTACAGCATGTATTTTTCTGTTTACTTGTTTACTTTTTTCTAGTTCACTTATCGGTAAGGTTTTCTGTAGAATATTAATATATGCTGCTGAAACAAAGAAATACAGTCACTGGACTCAAACTTTTGCCTCCTACTGTATATCGATGTTGCTTTTTTCTAATATGGATTTTAAACAAAAAGTTTTAATTTAAAAACGATAACGGGGAAAATGCACGCTTTTTATCTGCAAACAGCACACGAAGTTCTGAATAGAAAAGTAATTAGCTATGTCTATGTACAATAAAGTTTTTAATTATGTATAGTTTATATATATGTTTACATGTATAGTTATACATAAAACGCAAGTTCTTATTACAGTTTATGAAAAGAAGACTAAAAGTGTTTATGGAAATTATTCTTACTGATTTAATCTATTATCGCCCTTTTTGCTTTTGGCGCTTTATTTCCCGATTATAAAGAGAGGCTACATTTACGCTTTTTGAGTACACAATTGCAATCATGAAACACTCAGTTGCACATATTAGATTCTGTGGGCAACTCACTCGCGATGTATACCATAAATGTTAATTTCGAAGGGAAATCAATACAACTCATGCAGTTTCAAGCCAGAAACGGGACCACGATAATTGACTCATTTCACTATTTTTTTTCTTGAATTTGAGTTGTGTAGCCTATGATTTCCACTCGTGCAGGTTAAGACCCTTTAACCCTTAAATGCAACTTTCATATTTACTGTTACAGAACTCTATACATTTTTCAAATTATGACCCCATAAAACAAACAGCACAAATTATATATAAATTTTGTTGACAATATGCTAAATGCCATGCATCTGCCTGTGTTTTTTTTACTTTATGCGCTATCAAACCTTTTACGCTCATTCAGTCTGTCAGGATTTCAAAACGCGAAAACATTGTCTTGCATTCTAAACACCTCCCTGTTACGCCTCTTAACGTTTTGGCAACGCGTCGATTCCTTTTTTTAAAAAAGGTTCTTGGACAGTCCGCTATTTCGTTTTCTCGTTCTTGTAATATACTCTTGTTCCATTAACGGGAGAAAATGGACCGTTGACGGTGGTTTTTAGTTACAGCGCACAAGCTCACCAAATGAGCGTCTAATCACTATTCGTGTTGGCGGAGAAAAAAATATATATAGGGCCAACGAGAAGCCGAAAATATATAGCTACACATCAAATGAGAAAAATCAGGCAAAATTCTGTTGTATTATTGTCTAGAAGACTTAGTGAAAATGGATATTCATTTTCCATATAATTACATAATTCATATACCCCATTTTCCATGAATGTATCAAATGAATAAAATTTGTCCCCATATATACGTATATACATTTACCGTGATCATCAGATCATGCATGGTAATCTTCACAACTGCATTTTACAGCAAAATAATTACCACCAGCAACAAAATAAAGTTAAGGAAACAAAAGATCTTATTCAGAAAATTTTTCGCTGTGATTTGAAGCACAATAAGGTCAAGACACGATGCAGGCCCGACTGGCCTGATTGCCTTATTTGTTTACAACTTACTGGGGATTTAAACACATAATTTGGATGATATATAGTCCCACTGCTGATTGAAGACTTTTATGGTACTTATAATTTACATACCATTTATAGATACATAGTTTTTGATACCTCGAATAAGAGTAGTGATGGTTCATTGTTTTAATACTCTGTGAAAAATAAATTGAGCCAAGCACCGCGGTGCAATTTAAAATTGAATGCATGCGCATGGCCACGTTTAAAATTTACCTATAAACCGTTTATGAGATTAGAATAGCAACAAGCCTATCCTGTAACTTGTGTATTTATTAAATTGATTCAACGTTCCGTGAAAATTTTTTTTCGAGACAAATTTACATGACAATTGTATTCATCCGTTGGTCAAACCATAATTTGGCAAAACATATTGATGCGGGAAGATTACAGTTTACAATTTGTGTTCATCTGAGTAAAATTAGACGTCTTATTCAAAATTTCGATTAACAATAATGGTTTGGCAGTTTGGCTAAAGCCGATTTTTGGATGAAAGTTTTAATTAGACTGACTGCATGATGCATGTATATGTAAAGAGAACTCCTGAAACAACGCATGAAGTAGTAATTGTTGTACTGAACGTTCTTACCTCTTCAAATATTCAACTTGATCAGATTGTCCCGCACGAAACTGCCGATGCACAGTTTGTTTGCTAGTGCGCGGTGCCCGATAGCAAAATGTAACAGTCTGAAATTATAATTGTTGTAGCAAACAGTATATCTTCATTACTTTGTGGCTTTGCGGCCTGATTCGTTTTTCAAATTGAGGATCGGTTTTGTCTTTATTTTTAATTAATACGAACGCGCCATATTTTGAGGCACTGTATTTCCCTAACCGCAAGTAGGGAAAACGAATCATCGTTATACGTGCGACATAATAAATAAAAACTCCTTAGGAAAGATGTTCGTATCAACGTCGCTCAATTATCATCGTTATTGATAGAAACAGCTCTCGCCTTTATTATATAATTCAACGGTTCTAATTTTGCACGATTTTGCTCCATCAATAATTGATCTATTTAACAGCATTACCGCTACGAATTTCATTTAAGCTAACTTGCCGACAGTCTGCGATGGGAAAAGCATGGGGTCAGAAAATATAATGTATTTATTAGGGAATATATAGCGTTTAATATTGACTATTTGCTACCGAAAAAGGTGGCAAGATTGTCGTCTCGGAAGTAGTCTCAACTCATTACTATTATAGAGACGGTTCCTCCATCTGTACGAACCACAAAATGTAGTCCACTTCTAGACGAACTGTCTGCGAAAATTATCAGCAACGCTATGCGGAAGATACACCAACGTTTATGAATCCCTTCTTCAGTTAACCTTATCATCTAACTGTAGTTAGTTTGCAGAACGAAATGAACGGAAACGCGTGACAAAATGTTTTTCATTTTTTCCCCGCAAGACGCCAAACAAATAAATTTAGTGAAATGAAATCTTCCTATCATAGGTCGTAACCGAATTAACTAAATGCACGAATTATACCTGGCGTTCAGTAGTGGCAAAGTGGCTGGCTGGCGGTGTACCGCGGCTTATAATTGCATTGAAAGTTAACCCCGCACAGGGGACTTGCTGGCACGGACTTTCCGTTTATTCATGATTGATCCAGTGACCAAGCTATATAGATGTCATTATATCATTCGTCAGTAAATACTTGCAATAAATGCATGCGTCATCACGGACGTCGGCTTTCTCCACGTCGTCTTGTACTGTGTATATATAAATATATATGTATATCTATATACAGTAGCAGGCAAAAGTTTGAGTCCAGTCGTTGTAGAATTCCAGTATTAAATCCTGGCAGCGTATTGGAGTTAAGACATGCGTGCTAGTGTTTCAGTACTGTAAACTATATTAATTGCACACTGTTTTGGTCCTAATGATCTAAATTATAACAAAATAAAGTTCTCATTCCTTTACACTGCCCAAGATGGGTAGGAAAAAGGGCAAAGTGATGGTGCACAAGGACAAATAGTTCCATTAAGTATTGAAGGATTCTTTCCTCGTAAGATCGCAGAAGAAGTGAGAATTTAAAAAGGTGGTATGCAACTAACCTTGGAGAGGTTCGAAGAAACTAAATCCTACTCAAGCAAACTTTTAGCTGCTTTGGTCATGCTCGGTTTGGCAATATTGAAAGATATAATAGGATCCTAATTAAAGAAAAGTATCATCCAATTCTTCAAGGACATGGAATTTCATCTGGTACAAAGATGATCGCACGTCTAACTACATGATAATCACCCTAAGCACATGCACATCTTCTATGTGCCAGAAATCGTTTAGAAGCAAACTCATTCTGGTGATCTCGTTGTCATGGCTTTCCACCTCATATTCCAGATCTAAAACCTATGGAGCACTTGTAGAACCGTTTTAACCGGAAGAGGGCGAGGCACAGACCCGCCAGCCAGGCTGACTTGAGGCAAGTGGTCAACGAATGCTGGCAAGGTATTGAACGTGTGACATTAAAAAACCTATGGAATCTATGCGAGCAAGAATAAAGGTCATTTCAAGAGCAAAAAAGAGGGAACTAAGCAATGACATGTAAATGCATGTTTGCACATTAAAATACGTAAAAATGAATATCATAACATCTCATAGTTGTTGTACAGCATGTATTTTTCTGTTTACTTGTTTACTTTTTTCTAGTTCACTTATCGGTAAGGTTTTCTGTAGAATATTAATATATGCTGCTGAAACAAAGAAATACAGTCACTGGACTCAAACTTTTGCCTCCTACTGTATATAACGAACAATCATTGTAATTTTAAGATTTTAAATAATATAGCTCTGAGCACTCTTTTTAGTCTTAACGAAATATACATACAAGACGACGTGGAGAGTGCCGAAGTCAGTGATGACAATTATGCATGCATTTAGGCATGTTTTTACTGACGAATGATACCATAATGACATCGAATTTATATCTTTTCCATCTTTTTATAAAGAATTTTAGTTAACTATATAACTATATATAGGATAACTTAGCATCAAATGTGGTATAACAACTGCCTAAAATAGACAAAACACTTCTCACTTCTTTGAGAAGTGTTTTGTCTATTTTAGGCAGTTATTATACCACATTTGATGCTAATTAAGTTCTTTAAAGACGCCGCCACGCTGCTCCCTGGTTATATATAGGTAGAGAATATCAAACGCTACATGTATATGGACTTATTGACTATGTCAGATCATTCAAGAAACCTATAGAATGAAATACAACATGCACTCGTTTAATACTTCATTTGAAAACACTAGATAGTGCAATATAAGCCGCAGTTCATGCAAACTGTCAGTGTTTTCATAGTCACATGCAGTTGCAGGGTCGGAATTTTGCATAAAAGTAAATGAACTTAGAGTGTTACGTTTCAGGAGCTAAAACAATATTACTCATGCAGTATTACCAAGTTATATCGCTATAGATCATATTTGTTCCAAAATTACCCTTTAATTTATAAGGCCGCGTTGTTAAACTATTATGCAACTTTCCTTGCAACTTATAATGCAATTAATTCTACTTCAGCAAGGCATCTAAAGTTGTCAAACATTTCTAACGATCTGCTAACGTTTTCCTAGAATTTCGAACACTCTTTACAAACTTACTCCCTTAAAATTATTAAGGAAAATTGCATCACAACAAAGCCTTTAGGATTTAAAACTTGAAGTTCCATGCAACTATAAGGCAATATGCTATATATAAAAGGATCGGTCATTACAAATCCAAAGTTTCCTGCATATTATGGGCAGCACCCATGCACGTCTTATTTCATGCATTTTGCCATGCAGAATCTTTGAGAAAACTATAAAGAATGTGTGGTGTGCCTGGTGATATAAATTCGGTATATATACAAATTCTTTATATGCTTTATGATTTCCGTGTGCCAACTACGGTCACATGAGCCTAAAAAGAATATATCTGCTTGACATATATCTATCTTGTACTCAAAAGGCAAAGCGAAAAAAAAATAGATAAAGGCCGATTTATAAAAAACCTTGCGTCCGCCCATTTTTTCCAACACATGCATTTTGTGTATAATATATTGCAAAGCGTATTTTTAGCTGTCCAATATTATACTTAGCTAAAACTGCAGTATTGATTTCTAATGAATTATTATTACCATTATTATGAATTGAAAAATTTAATAGTTGTCATGCGGCGCGCGAATAAGCCTTATAAAGTTATATATATACCTATATAGCGAGCTAATTTCTACTGTCGCATGCATTCTTTATACGTTAACTATACAAGCACGAAAAAGTTTCAAACCGGTTTATTAGTGATGAACCGTATACATATTGTTTCCTTTAATAGCGAAATGATCGTCATGCGTGTTCACTGATTTAGAATCGCGAATAAAGACATGTGCATCAATACACTGTAGTTGGCTGTAATTTGGGCTCAGGCAATATGCCTTGCAATTAGGAACTCGATGTTTTGAAATGATCGGGCGTTTGTAATAGCAAAACACAGCAGGTTATGGGCAAAAACAGGTCAGTGGGAAGTCTGGTGGCCAGCGGCTCAAATAAACCGCGAAAACGCAAATGTATTTTAGGTCTATAACACTAATTAATGCTGATAAAACAAATAAATATATCATGAACTTTTTTCAGATTATATTTGCAGTATGCATGCGCGATTTAAGTAACGCGTCACACTTCGAGACAATCATAAAAAACACAATACACATGCATCGATGTGAACTTACCCGTGCTTGTCTCCAGGCGAACAACATTTATGCTCTCTTTCATGTTTCTATGACGTAAAATGCATGGCAATTCGTGAATAATTTAAATGGTCGTTTTCAGCAATCTGCGAACACAGCCAACGAGGTTTAATATTTGTTGATAGATGCGGATGTCTGTTGGATGCCAATGAGTTTGAAAACTGGGGTAATTCGACAATTATTATAGAAAAGGGTATGGCTTGACTTCTCGGTCAGTTTTTATTATTTTCTATTTGCCGAAAATAATACATATGTAGCAACATCTGCTCTGATATCGCACATTTCAGGGGCACACTCCCTAAAATTCAGGAGCATATAATATATTAAAACCTAATTCATTGTATATTCTATATACTGTTTATATCTGAAGCCGGCGGATAATCCCATCATCGTTCATTGGAAATTTTTTCAAAATGAATTTGAAATAGCAAGGAAGTTTTTAATATCCACACAAATCGCCATTTCTATACTATGCAGTGCTTTTTTTAACTATATATCTGGGGGGGCAATTGCCCCCCCAGAGAATGCATTTGCCCCCCCAGTAACTACATTTCTGCCCCCGTTTACGACACCGTATTGCTCATGCATGATTGCTCTGAGAATTGCTGTTGATTTACTTGCATGATAAAGAGATTATGCCCTTCCATACGGCTTTCTCCACAGCCATCTTGCATGTAATGCATAATGTTCTTCGACAAATATTTCACAGTAGCGATAGATTTCATAGAATTATAATTGAATAGAATGCTAGCTTTCTAAACCTCGTCACAAAGAAAACATTAAATGATAGAATGATTATTGCCTGGAACGGTGTCTCTACTGCTTTATATGACCCAAGGCCAGCCGTTGTATCCTTTTTCATGCAGCAAAAAAGACCGACGCAGTGCAAGGCCATGTCTTGAAACATATAAACAAAGAGATTTTGTGGCCAAATTTTTTTCCTAAATGCTGTACAACTATAACTGCAAAGAGTTAAAATTATTGTTTGCATTTAAACATAGGTTTCCTTCTGTCTCGCGCGTTCGCCAAACCTCGTCGGCTCATTTTTCGTTTCGCCTTTTTCCTGCATTGCCCCCCAGTGAAAATTTCTTAAAAAAGGCACTGAATTACTATGAATGTAGTGTTGATGTAGTATTGAGACAGTATGGATATATACTGATACTTGTTTCCCTCGAGCTCGTTCTCCCAAACTCCCACGCGTGTTTCTACAACTGTATAGGTACACGGAAAATAAATTTCTTAAATGTTGCATGCATGCAGTTAAACGAGTGTTGAAGAATAAAAATTTCAAATTTCCAAATATTGCTACAGATGAGAATGACAATTAATTACTCCGGCGTAAGGGACGGGGTTGCTTGAAAAAATGGTCCAGGTGTTGTTTTATTTATGTTGTTTGATAATAGTAAACAACAAATATTATCAAGTAGGGTAATATCAAAAACACAAGGAATCTGTTATATTTTGTATTATCTCAAATGCTTTTCAGTATAGCAATACTTTGGACCGGCGACATCTGATGCCTGCTGTAAAAATCCGGCAAGGCGAGATAGTTGTCACTATCCATATTTATAAAACTGCACGAAGAGTACAAATCGTACAAATTACTTTCGAACAAAAATGGTGGTGAATTTGCGGGAAATAGTGGCGGGGTACCCGCACCCATTTCATCTGTGCTCGGCCTTTGTTTTGGTAGCCTGGGTCCGGTTGTATCGAAGCCGGATAGCGCTATTCAGCGGATAGTGATTTTTCAAAAAGTATTTGAATGTCAATGAAATGTCAGCTGTGGAACCAACAATTATTAAAGAGGATCCTCGATTTAGGAATACTAAGATTTAATCAAAGTTATACCAAAAAACAGGCCATTTTGAAACGATTGAAAAAACACTATCCGGTAGATAGCGCTATCCGGCTTTCATACAACCGGCCCCTGCATGAACACTGATATTTATCAGCCTCGCACCCAGGCGCTTTAATAATAAAATATATAACGTTGCATCAAGGTAAGTAAGAATATTGAATAATATACCATCTTCGTGCATTGGCCTAAATCTACTCAGGCGATTGCATGCATGTCAAAATCAAACATGTGGTCTCTTGTTGCCTGGCGACAGATCATGGGAATCATAATTTATTCGCAATAACCCATGAAAATAATTTATTCAACTGACAGCGAAGCTTAGGTCTTCAATGCAGCAATCAATGAACTCAGATTGTATATTAAAAGTGTTAGAGACTTTGTGCTCTTTTTTTTACAAATAAACGCACTTGCTGATGGCGTGAGCGACGGAGTTGACAATTCGCCTATGTTTTGTCTTGTTTTTGTTTATTTGTCGTCGTTCCAAGTGTTTGGCGCGAAATATACTAGCATTTGAAATGTGTATGTGACCATCTATTTTGGCTAATCCGCAAATATTTGCATTATTTGATGAACAGGACTAGCTGGACGGATTTGGGTGAGTGAGCAGCGATGAACCAGTTCAGCAGAAATCCGATAAAGCTTATTTATTAATGTAATTATTTATATTCCCTCTGATAAAGTATTTTCTGTTTTCGGTCAATATTGATATAAATATTTATAAGCATACTTTTCTAATAAGCAGGGGCGCACTCTCTAACACAGTTGACACCACCCTAAGCTTACCTAGCCGTACCATGCCAAGGTTTTAAATATATAAATTCAAATTATCCACAATTATTGAGTTTTATCAACTGTGACCTGCGGGACTGAATTCATTTCTTGATATAAATTCGGCTGCCGGAATATTTAGCCCACCCCTAAGAAAATTTTGAGTGTGCGCCCCTACAGACAAGTAAAAGATGCACATATATATATATATATATATTAATATATATATATATATATATATATATATTATATATATATATATATATATATATATATATATATATATATATATATATCTATATAGATGCACCACCAGTATTTTTTATATAAATATACAACTTTTGCAGTTTCAAAGTCACTCAATATATCATTTATACAAGCCTTGCGATCATTATACTATACTCAAAGAGACGGCCCGGAAGAGCTAGATGATGTGATGGTGCATGTATATAACTCTACACTATTAACAAACAATGATGTTAGATTAACGAGTGCTACGCTATCACGTCATCTCTTCCTGTCTCTTTGTATTTTGTAAATAGTTTATTCTAAATTGATAATGACTTTGAAATACTTTGAAATAAAGTCAAAATATCACCGTAAAACGTTTGACTTGTTGTCAATAGCTCATCTTTTGAGTTTACAAGATGTTATTCTTCGGAGTGTGTTTTTTCTTGTATTTTATTAAATTGTCTGCTGGTAATAGCTTTTTAACTATGTGACAACTTCCCAAATATGACAAGTACACGCTGCACGTGGGACATCCTTTTTACAAGCTGGTTTCTTTTGAGCTATCAAGCTCAGTGCACGACCAACGAGTGCGATCTTTCTTCTTTCCCTGTAGTTTACGAAGAACACCTTTTTTATTTTTGCCATCGTCGGAAGGAGGTAACAATAAGTTGGAGGATTTCCCATAGAACATTGTCTCGTCAGGATCCAGGGATTCCTGAAGAAGCTTTTTCTCGACCATTGGGCTGGACGTTTCACTACTGCTACCGATACTATCGCACTCTGGTTTATTCGACGTGTTTTTCTCAGGTTCCTCTAATATTTTCGAGCCAGCAGTGCCAGGCACATTAGAACTGGTCTGTGCTTGCTCGACTTTGTTATCGGTGCTTGACACAAAAGAATCGGATTTTTCTGTTATTGTAGCCTTAACAACCAAATTTGGAACGGCCATCGTCATCCCGAATCCATCTTTCGAATTCGTTTCGCAACTGACATCATTATCTGCACCCCCCTGAGAAATTCCACCGAAACTAGACATCTCGCTGGATTGTGAGCTATCCAGAGTGGCGTTTTCGTTTGCAAATTTTCTATTCTTTCCCAGTTTTCTCTTTTTCTGACGACTTTCACCTTTGGCGTCATTAGGCGCAGAAACCAAGGTTTGTCCGTTCGCGACCGACCTTTCCTTGGAAGCAAGAATTGGGTAGTCGTCAGATAGTTTCTTGGTGCTAATCGGTGATTCAAGATCCACGGCAACTTCTTGTCGCGGAAGAGATCGTTTATGTCTTGGTACCGCTAGCTTCTCAGCCTCGGCCTCTTCTTTCGATGCCTCGAGAAGGTTATAGGACTGACCTTTATCAAAACTAACCTTCTTTTTCATTGTTTTGCGTATCGATTTGTCAATGCTTCCTTTTCTGCTGCTGCTGGATAGCTTGCGACTACGTTCAGGAACCTCCAACGACTCCCTTGCACCGGTTTCTAATGGAACGTTTCTAGTAGGGGAACCAGATACCTCGCCGGTTTTTGATTGAGTTACATGCGCCGACTCGGCGTCGGACAACGATTCTGCATCAATAACGGTATTGCAATTGGTGCGGGTTGCAGAAACGCTTGGATTACGGCAGAAAAACATGTCATTTTGTTCACTGCCGGTGAGGACGCCAAGGTCCTGGATGAAGCGTTGCATCCACTCTTCTTTCGATGGCGTTGGATGGGTTGGACTCTCCAACCGTTTAACCAGGTCTTCTTTGAGGGCACCTGCGCGAGGGTTTGCAGGCTTTAAGAGAGGAATCTAAACATAATTTACATTATAGTCAATTGAGGCAGTCGAATGTGGTAATAGGTACGCCCGTGTTCGATTTTTTACAGCGACGCAGGCATATACGCTATCTGACAGGTAGATGAAATGAAATGTTTCCAATGTCATTTTTTACGCATGCATGAATCAGTACAGGCAAAGTTCGCCTGTCTTGAAAACTATACACGTCGGTGAAATTTATGCATGTCAGTGATTGTTCGTTCCAAATAAAAAAAATAAATTTAATTTTGGCAGGGAACGAGGGCGTGCACGATTTTCAAGAGAGGAATATAAGTCCTGTATACGTAGATGTATTATGCATGTGGATCTATGGACTCTGGGTAATCATCCATGTTGAAACAAAAAAAGGATTAAAAACAGGGGTACAAACAAATAATTGGGTACAAACCTTGCTACGTAGGATCGGTAACAACAACAGAAACAAGGGCGAACGATGTAAAATAATGAACTCCAGAAACTCAAACAACGGTTCGTTTCCTAAAAACAAACAAAGTCCACCTGTTATCGCTAGTTATCTTATTTCGCGTATTGGCACTTGGGGGTCTCAGGGTGTCAACTGACTGACGGGGGACTCAGAGGTTTAGGGCCCCCCGACAAGAAAATGAAATTACTATCAACGGACATATATGCAGCCTATTAATATTATATTATGAAATTTGGAAGCATAATCTAAGCATAGTAATATAGATTTGTTTTATATTCACACTATATGCATGTACGTGAAGATTGCTTTGCGTAGACGCAAGTCGTAAATTCAACCATTTTTAGTGGAGCAAAGGCGGGCCACAAATTGACTATTGACGGAGGGCCCTCAGCGGTTGCGTTAAGCCATTGCACGTTCGAGTGGATTCGTTAATATGATTAAGGCTGCATTCAGGCTGAGTGTTCAGCACCGGTGCCCAAAGCCAAAACTGGTTCATAAAACATCCAGCACAGTACCTCTGTAGCGTCCGTTCTTAGACACCGTGCCCAATTTAATTTGGAAGCTTAATGTTCAACTTAGGCAGAAAAAGGGACGGGCACCAGTGCCGGTCTGAATGTAGCCTAGCTAAGTGATGTACTCTCTCTAAATCGACCTTTTGCATTAAGCTATACTTAAAAAAGGAAAAGTTCATCAATACAGATGAAAACATTGTGCTGCTGCTTATAATGAGCACCTTATTCACGGTAGCTACATAAGTTAAGTAATTACCTGCATCATGCAGGACAGCTTCCTTTAGCACAGATGCGATAGTTCGCCACTCACTTGCGAGAAAGTAAGGAAAACAAATGATCATAACTTTTAAGCCTGAAAAAGAGAAACATTAGGCCTGAAACATTAGGTCTGACGCACACGTGAGCAAATAAATTAGCTGATAAATATGTCTACCGATAGCTTGGTTAATAGATATAAAGTCTGTGGTATAGGTTTTTCTGCGGCATTGTATATATACCATCAGAGGCAATATTTTACGCTGTCAAACATGATCAATTTTTTTCTATGTGCCCAGCAAAATCTAACGTGAACCACCGTCGCGGTTACTGTCTGATTTAGTGGCAGATAAAAATAGGGGTAGATAAAAATAGGGGGTTTTCTCCTTAGCACAACATTTCGACGAGTATTTAACTGAGAATTGGTCTTAACTGTAAATTTAGCGCTGAGCTAAATCACAGCTAACATTTATAGCAGAGCTGATAATAACCCATGCACGGATAGTGGTTATTTTAGATCCGATATATTTACCCACGGAACAAATGCAGAGAAGCATTGTACCTAAGATCATTTTGATCGAATTGTAACTTCGAAATGAGAGTATTGACAATCGCCTTCCTCAGCGAATTCATTGTCTCTCTCTCTATATATATATATTCTTTACCAAAGACGGACAAGGTTGTTGATGGCATAGAATATTGCCATTGTGCAGACAAGAATGACTGATTTGAATGCAGAAAACAAGATGAACTTATACCCGGACTAATTTAAATCGATGGAAATGACGTGTTCGCGACAATTAGGACAAAATGGAAAATAGGTTTAAACCTGGTTCCACGTCACCATGCATCTACGCATCCACCATTTTAGTTTGGAAAAATTACCTAAATACGCAGCACTATAAATGGACTGTGAGAAACCAGCAGCGTCACTTTTTCTTGGCAAAACACGCTGCACGAAAGGCGAGGAAGGACCGATTGCTCCGCTGACCACAATGGAACAGGAGAGACGATGAGCGGACAGACTCATATCAACGAATGGTGTGACAATAATGTTGAGAAAACAAGACACAGCGTATGATACGTCTTCCTTGGATGCTCTTGGTTGATCTGAAGACAAAGTACATAACTATTTAACATAGCATCATTAACTATACACGTAAAACTTCTAAAAGGTACAAGCAGAGGCTATATGAGTTTCCAATGCTGCACACATTAAAGTATCAGGTTATCATATTTGAAAACATGGAGATTTTGAGGCCCCTTCTTGATCCCCTTAAAATGTTGTTGTATATGGAAATAGCGAACGCGATTAGTTATGTAATTTTTCAGCCGCAATAATAATTAAAATTACTGAATGTATTGGAAAATTGACGCATTTAGAATCACTGAACATGCGCATTTGGCACGAAAAGAACAAGCATTCACTAATAAGACAAAGTGAAATAATTTCATTGAACAATGTTATACCGGCAAGCTCGTTTTAATACCACTAACAAAAAATTTGTTAAATTATCTAACAACCCTTCAGCATGTTGAATTTTTTGTCTTCCAGCTTAGTTGTCTTAGAAACAAGCTCTGTCAACTGACGATTAAATGTGCAGGGGGCGAATTAAAAAAGTAAGGTGCGCAACATGTGCTACGCCGTTTATTACTCATAATGGGAAAACGAGGTATCATTTGTGCGAGCCAGCGACCAACAGTACATTAAAATATGAATGTAGGTGGATTTTACAGCGAATTGCATTAAGCTCATATTCAATACCAAAATTTAAATATGTATTACCCCCCTCCTCTTGATATCCCCCCCCTGTATAATTTATCACAATAAACACTCGTTGTTCCGCGGTCAGCTGTACATTTTCTTTCGAAGCAATAACAAGGCTAATTTAAATTTAATCATATTCACAATTTCACATTTTTCGTATTTAGCTTTTTTATAACTTGCATTAAATTCCCACGGGCTAAAACTCATGAACATGCAGGGCATTCGAATTTTAACAATGTCAATGAGCGATTTCAATAGTTTTCGTTTTTTTTGAGACATCCTTTAGATTTCATTGGCCACCTTATTCATATTATTGTACGTTTATTGCTTGACGTTGAATGCCTTTAGACGATAATGAATTGTTATACATATTTAATGCCATTCGCTGTCAAATCCGCCTACATTAATCATATTTTACCGTTCTGTTGTAAATAAACGGTGTAGTTGAATTCGAATCGTGAGCTTTTTTGGAAATCGCTGCTTTTCGTTTTTGGCTGATCCAAGAGAAGGACGAAACTGTGTCTACCTAATTGTACATAATGATTACTAAAAATTTAGTAGCACACAAAGCCAGAAAAATATCGCTCATATGTTACAACAGAGGCCGCTCAACTTTATTGTTTATTGCTATAGCATTATCGATTACCGCTATAGTGCTCACTATTAGGTAAGTTTGACTTTCAAATCTGATTTTTTATCATTCATCATGCAGCTTCACTGTTTATAAACAAGACGACGACTCGGCGTTATTAACCTCGGGTCGTTGAAGCGCTGCAGGGCCAATGGAGACAACAAATCCGGTGCTATGTATATTCTCTGTTTGAGATCTGGACCGATTGAAACCTTTCAAAAAGATTATCTATGGACGCCAACGGTCAACATGTATACAGAGCAATTCAATATAATATCCACTTCGATCGACAATCGCATAATTAACATAACATGAACACAGTATTGCTGGGGAAAGGGCGATGAAGAGGCTGGCAGGGCTTTCGCTCCCACAGTTATATATACAACCCGTTTAAGCCGGTTTTCTTTGCGCGAATCGACATTTTACTTTTGTTCCAGAGGCCTCAAATGCAACCATCAGGAACAAATTGCTCAAATACAAAAGAATAAAGTCGCTTCGCGCGAAAAATATCGCAAGTGAAAAACGGGCTTTACACTTGCGATTTTTGCCGCGATTTTATGTGCGATTTTCTTCTTTTGATGTATGTGAACGAGTAATAAGTTACCAAAAAAATTGTTACAAAGCCTGCGAAGAGAATTTTTTTTCTCAAAGTTTTCAAATCATATGGTGCAAGTTCTGATGAAATGAGAAACTTTTATATCGCTGCTATCAGGCAAACGCTTAAATATGGTGCGCAAGTCTGGCATGTACGATCAATTATGTACGACGTACCTATATATACAGGGTGTATCAAAAAAAAGGTAATCCAACTTTGGTGCGCTATTGTACGTGAACTACTCATTCTATTAACGAATTTTTTTCACATTCCGAAAGTTTAGGCTTTTAACTATCGAATAACATGTTTTTGATACCAAATGGTGAAAAAATGAGCAAATAGGAGGCCGATAAAAAGTGTTAGTCAAAATCGCATATTTTCACCTCTGAGAGTTGGGACTAAAACCATTGAAAATTAACTCTCTTTGGGATTAATTGAAGAATTTTGCTTTTGAATAAACTAACCGCATATGCATATTAAGTAGGAATAAATCACATCAGGAGAACATTCCAAGCAATGCGGCATAAAACCAGTGTAAGCTGTGACATGTTCGTGATTAATTGCTCTTTTCTTTTGTTATGCACTGCTTTAATTAGGCTCAAAGGTGAAAATATGCGATTGCGACTAACATTTTTTATCAGCCTCGTATGTGCTCACTTTTTCACCATTTCGTATTAAAAACATGTCATCCGATAGTTAAAATCCTGATCTTTCCGAAAGTGAAAAAAAATCGTTCATAGACTGAGTAGTTCACGTACAATAGCGTGTTGAAGTTGGATTACCTTTTTTTTGATACACCCTGTATAATAAGTCAAGTGAATTGAATGCATTAACGCAAAAACATGCCGATCCGACTGAACTCTATACAGTCTACATCTCTAAATGCCTGCTTTTTTATAGAAACAATACTAAACTAAATAAAGAAGATGGCGAACTTAATTCAATTCGAAAAAAGACAAAAACTTTTGGTAACAACTCATGTGAAAAAATTCAAGAACTTGCAAGAAAAATTGACAAAATTGACGCCAGATTTAATGACCTGATTATCCAAACAAAAACTACGTTGGAGACTAAGATTAAAAGTATCGAGGGTAACCTAACCTCGCGAATACTAAGCCTGCAAAATTTTGTTTCTGACCTAAGGTCAAATGTGAATAGAGGGCAGACACAGCTGGGAAATTTCAAGGTTTCGACGAACACTAAGATTAAAAGTATCGAAGGTAACCTAACCTCGCGAATACTAAGCCTGCAAAATTTTGTTTCTAACCTAAGGTCAAATGTGAATAGAGGGCAGACACAGCTGGGAAATTTCAAGGTTTCGACGAACACTAAGATTAAAAGTATCGAAGGTAACCTAACCTCGCGAATACTAAGCCTGCAAAATTTTGTTTTTAACCTGAGGTCGAATGTGAATAGAGGGCAGACACAGCTGGGAAATTTCAATGTTTCGACGAACACCAAGATTAAAAGTATTGAAGGTAACCTAACCTCGCGAATACTAAGCCTGCAAAATTTTGTTTCTAACCTGAGGTCGAATGTGAATAAAGGGCAGACACAGCTGAGAAATTTCAAAGTTTCGACGAACAGAAAATTTTCAAAGGCATGGAAGAAATTTACAAAAGTTAACAAAGAAATCGACAATATGTCACAGAAGAGTGGAAGCTTGAAAAATACGAAGAATGAAGCAGCAATCTGTACCATAATCGTAATCATGTATTATGTGTATAATTTATAGCTAGAGTAGAAATTTTCTTCTGATTTATACGACTTCATTTATACGAAGAATCTAAACTACACCCAGGATTTTCTGGGGCGTTTATCAATAAAAAACATTTACAGCTTCGCTTCGCTGTCCTTTCCGCCAATCACATGACTCTTGAAAGAATATTATTCGTGGTTTGTTAGGATTGTTACATTACAATTACCAGTTCAATATCCTACCCAAATTTCTGAAAAGATCCGTGCCGGTTTTTCTGTGTAATTATGGGTGCATCAGTAGAACAGTGAACTGTATTACAATTACCATTTTAAGACTGAACGGTTCAGGAACAGTCCAATAGCATCATCAATTGAACTTTTTATAATGACTCTCTTAAGATATAGCTGATTTTATAATATTTTAATATTTTAATCTTAAATACGTGTAATTTACTATTTCAATTTTATGTTATATGCATCATAGTTTAGTTTTTAACAGCTACTCAATGAGTGAATTTCTGTTATTATACTATTATTATACTATCAGACTTTGAGTGAACAAACTTGCAAAACTGTTGCATGTGAATTGTCTGTGCTAGAAAACAGACTTCTAGAAATTTGTCTCAAGATTTGTTACAAGTTGTCAATAAAATCTTTTCACGCAGCACACATGCAGGATTTGATAGCACTATAGCATACGTAATCATTAATGATCTTCCTAAATTCATCCGTTCCATGTTAACATGCAAGTAAGATAATTTAGTGACTTACCTTTACTCCCAGTACCTAGTCTTATACATAATGGAAGCAAAATGTGAACGAGAACGCGCAGTGTTCTATCGGAATTGCCAAACTCCATTGTTCCACCACAAAGGTCTTTCAACGAATATTTGTCTTTCAATGAAAACATCAACCTTGCAGCCAGCTTCACCACGAGTTGACAGAAGGTGATAGAAGGCGGGGGGTAGTGACTAAAGCCAGTGTCGCTCTCACTTTCGCTGACTTGTTCACGGAGGACTAAACGCATACACGTCGCGACTACGGCCTGGAATTGCAGCAAAATTGACAAATTTAACCAAACCCAGACAATACGCAGAAACATCACACGATGGCTAAACTAGATTAATCTCAAGACGAAATGCAGGTTATAAAGTACCTACTACAGGTAAGGTCGGATCGCGGGTATACTTATATTCTTATCGATGAACTCGACCCAATCTAGCTTATATTCAATCAAAGTCTTATTTAATAAGTGCCTACTTTTCAGCACGTAGAATAATTTACCTACTTTGGTTAAAGGAAGTGTTGTTACCGACAACTGTCTCGAGATGGTTAGGTAAAGACCTGTAAGAAAAATAACAACCATGCCCTTTCTATTTCAAGTCTATATTTAAAGTCTTCCCTTTCTATTCTAATTTGTAAACAGCAAGGAATTCATAGAATGTATATAGATAACTACTCGCCGTTTTTAATCAGTAAATAATAAACATACTTCTGTAAGATATACCTTTGAGTAAGACCTCTGTAACATTCCAGTTTTCACTTCGGTGCAACAATAAAGGATATGGCCAAAAGAAATTCTAAATAAAAATACTGACGATTATTGTATTGTATTGTATTGTATATTTTTATTAGTTCTTTTAACTATCTGCTAAACGTTTTAGAGTGGCTCAGCCACCGGAGGTCCCATTCCCCCTAAACTCCATCCCCATTGGTGTAAGGCCATCTCTGTGTCGAAATATTGTTCTTCTTGACCTCTTCAAAAACGTAGCACGAAACGTTATCTCACTGTCTGTATGATTAAACTAGGTTAGCTTACCATAAGATCTGGTTTGTCAGTGATTTTCGTGAAAGTTGTGTTGATTCTCTTAAGGACCAGGTTTAACGCGGGAAGAATTTCCTCTGCAGACCAGTCTATGTTTGGCAAGGCTTCCAACATGAATCTATACGAAAATATGTGAAATGATAAAACCGTTGTGATGTAATGCATGCATATTCATTTGTTGTGTTAATGGAGTTAATACTCCAACGTAGTATGTAGAAAGACACCACCAAAGCAACAATAACATAACCAAATCCAACAAGGTTAAAAACTTACTTTTGTACTCCTGTTAATTCCAAAGACACAGTATCTGTCAATGAAAGTTTCAGCAACGTATGCGCAATGTTACACAGTGCCTAAATTAAAGATGTTAAAATGCGGTCAAGAAAACTGAAATTTAATCACTTTCAACAAGGACGGGTTTTCATGAAGATTTAGTTTCGGGCCTGCATCGAGATTTAAAGTGGATTCAATCTTTTCCGAAAATATTCCAATTTTGAATTCTCTGAAATGCGACATAATTCGTTTTTATGTATTTTCGACGTTTGAAAATAGTTAATTGAGGTAAGGGAGATTTTTAGTTCTATTTACTTTACTTATATATTTACTTTTGCTTTTACTGTGAAATATAATTTATAAATGATAAAGATTAAACAATGTCATATTGATGTGATTCGTAGAATCTTAATTTGGACCCTGTCTTTGGTCATCTATATTTTTTTGCGGGAGGGGGGGGGGGTAGGTATCCAAATTTTGCCGGAGAGGTGCAACATCCGTTTATGACTGTGTTAACGAGTGTTGCCCACAAATATATCAACTGCAGTATAGTAAAATTGCATGCATCGATCCATTTACTTACTTGTAACCATAGTCGATTACTTTCTATTACTTTACGTAGTTGATGGAATGAAAAAATAGTTTAAATATTTTGTTTACCTGGATACTTTCGTTATCGAGTGTTAGGTTCGGAATTTGCGCATTATTCTTTCCGTTCATCTCACGAAGACGCTTCTTGCTCGTGCTGATGAATTCAGACGCAATGATTAGAATTGCATTGCGAGGAGTACGGAATTCGTAAAGCGAGTCCAGGACCTGCTCTCCCTCATCTTGCGTGCTGAACTTGGTCAAGAATGGTTTAAACTGCTGGTCTAGGAGGTGAAAATTTCTTTCAAAATAAGTGGCAATAATCCTGCAAGAGCCTATTTTGTCCACAAGTCACGACCAATAGAATGATATATGCAGTATTAAGTATAAAAAAAATAAAGTCGCGAACTAGCGACTTAAATATTAATAGGCTCTTAAATATTTTTTTTACTTAATATAAATAGTTAAATTATAAAGCTAGGAGAAATGTTGTTTTTGTGGCGTACGAACTCAGCTGCATCGGTGAATTATCTGAGTGCACGGACCACACCGTGCAAGCTTAATTTGATCTACTTAAGTAAATAGTTGGTTTATTACGCAGTACCTAAAGAATCGACATCCCTGTCATCGTCATCAGTATATGCTCTCGACTGCCGCACATTTTCATGGCTTGTGTTAAGCGATGTTACAGACCCTGTAGAACCTTCCCTTACTTTACTTGGTTTAGTCGGCGAACTTATCCCTTTCATCTTCAGGAACGGTCTGAGGGTAACGATAGCAAAAGATATATAATGCATATATACTGTTGAATTTAGTCGGTGTAGTATAGAATATCAAAACTTGAAACGTTAGTTGATGGGAGAAGTAGTACAGTAACTGTTTTCCACATCAGTACCTAATTTTCCATGAGCATTCATTCATCATTGTGATTACTGGTTTTTTAAATCCCTCATGAATATCAATAATAAAATTTGATTGGGTAGTTTCTTATCACATCATTCAATAATAATACCTTCGCAAAGAGTTGCAACTTTTTAGCAAAACTTGGACAGAACAATGCAAAGATTGTAGTGTTGTTAGTTCGTCTTTTGACTCCTTTTTCCTTTCGCCTTGGGCATCATTATTCTTTACATATTCCAAATAAAAAGGCAATATGGTAGAAAGAACCACCTAGAAAAAAAATTAAGTTTGTGCATTTCTACCGAAGGCCGATAATAGACAAATAGACCTTTTTAAAAATTCGAAGTTTAGCAACTCTCTGAAAATGAAATTCAAACGAGCAAAGAACGGCTCGAAATATCCTCAAGGTGATTCTTCAAAGCATATACCTACCAACATTTGTGTAGCTCGAATGGATTCAGGTGAAAAAGCAACAACGGTTACACAAAGGCGAATAGCGATATCAATTTTGCATTCATTTTCGTCAAGTTTTCCTTCATAGCAGGAATCCTAAAAAAAGCTCTCGCGTTTATGCATGCAGAATCGCATATTTTTTCAACTCTTAATTTAGACCTAGTTCTTAGGAGTTTTTAAGTTCTTATTTTCATATTAATTACCTTTTATTCACGTAATCATTATGTGCACGGTAAAATAATATATCATGTCCTATTGGGGTACTTTTTCACCATGCAGAATTACAACAGTCATAACGAGTTTATGATTTCATTTTCACATGTATAGCAACAAAGGACATGCAGTGATCACCTTTTCAGTAATACGCATGCATGCATCCATGTTATCGAATTTTAAACGAAAGATAACTGTCTTCTCCTTTTTGCACAAAAATTATAGATCATTTCACATATATACAGCTTAACAACCTCCTTAATTTCTGTTTCTTTCTTAAACACCTTCTCTGATTTAGTTGCACGAATTTGCATGATGCTTCTTTCATTCTTTGGTCATTTCTATGTCGCTCTCTGTCTTTACACAAAGGCTTTACAACTATGCGATAGACAAGCGCTTCTATTGAAATGTTTAACTTCACGCTTACCAACGGTTTTAATGGTTTTTTGGCGTCCACCAACGCTAAAAGATCCAGTGAATCAGGAACATCCTTTTCCAACGATGATAGAATTGCAAACAAACATTTTGGAAGGATCTGAAAACGTAATATGTAGCGATATATCCTATGACGTAAACGAATTTAAAATATCAGAAAAATGTCGAACATAACTGCACTATGACTGAAGAAGTTACGTAAACTTAGACCATTTAATTTACTAATCTTAAACGCTGCTACTCATTTGAGACACAAGGTCAATTTAATTAAAAAGTTTCTGTTTTTCCTATGTTAGCTGCATGGTAGAGGAGTTTTCATGTGGTAGCTTGTCTGCAATAGAGAGATCCCTGAATAATAGGGTACATGCAGTTTCTGTAGTACAGTTTCTCTTAGTAGCTGATCTGTTCACTGACGTACTCTTCTATAGTTTTTGAAAAGAAGATAAGAAATTTGAAACCAACCATGTTACTCTCGTCCATTTCATCGGAGTGTTCGGGCATTTTGTTGACGTTCTCCGTGAGTAGGATCGGCTCAACGCTGGCAAATAACTGAGACGAAAAAAACTTTAGTCAACAACGAAGCAAAATGGCCCAGCGTCTCGGAATTATCCTGAACATCAATTTAGAATAAACACAGGGCAATTCATATATTCATCTTATGCTCGAAAGTTGTTTTTTTAGCAATTGTTTTTACGTTTATTTGAAAATATTAAATAATTCCATATCCACCCCCGCTCCCAAAAAAAAACAAGCTTTTAGCGACAGTCCAATAAATGAATCTAAATTGCGCATCCAGTGGACCCATGCATTCGATTATATAAAGATCAGCCAGTCAAAACAACGTATCTGAAATAACAGCAATACACGATCACGGTTTATTAATTCATGCAAGCTGTATTGATGATAGTGTACTGTATGTATGTTATTCCCTATAGTCCGATATACGATGCTAGTAACTTTCGACAAGAAATGAAGAACTTACTTGAAGAAGAAATGGTTTCTGATGAAGAACGTAAAATTGACTGATGACAAACTATGGAAGAGAAAGAGGCAATGATGTGTAGGTTTGGGCAAAGTGAAACCTTGAAACATTCAACACAACCGCGAATATTTCTAACTGAACACACTGGAGTGCTCTATATCAACTAGCAACTTTATATCAACTACCAACCAACCTCAACAGCATTGCACACTATTTCGTTATTTTCGTGATGGGAATAAAGTAGCGCCAGTGTTGGTAAAATGTGGTGGTAGCTAAATAGATAATAATGAGTAGAATGAAAGATAACACCTTATGAATAGCGCTTAAACATTTCCAAAGTTAACCTCAGCCACGTAAATAATACACTACATACTAGACGGCGCACCGTTGTGAGCATACACTAACACCGGATATTCGAGGAATTTGTTGAAATTGAACATTAAATCCATACCCGTCAATAGCGAAAATATCGGTGAATTTAATGGCGGCGTTGATCAATGTAGCAAGACAGAATCTCAACATTGACGAATCTTCACATTGAAGCAACAGGGCACCGTTGACGACATTCAGAAACAGATGAAGATCATTGTCTCCCCATGGAAACGAACTGGTCATCGATTCAAATAACTTGGACAAAAGCTAAAAAAGAGAAAGATGAAGTTATCCGTTAACGCCAATAAATTGTGAAAGAATACGTGTCGTTTTTTGAAATCATATGTTAAAGCGCTCAGTCGACTAAAATTGCACAGAAATGTATATAATGAGAAGATATGTTGGGGCTATAGAATACAGATGTCCTTTTCTGTTACGTAACATCAGTGTGACCATGCATGAATATTTTATAACCAAAGCTGCTCAAAATCTAGTTAGATGCCACCTTCTGGTATATAACTTTGGTAATTCTGGGGGGAGGGTTCTGTTAAAATTACCAGATCTGGCCACACCGCGTAACATCCTGCTGCCATATAATTTATTACGTACAAAATAAAAAAGCTGCGAAGCTATATATGCATGTATTCACACCTGCATGTATTCAAAGTGCTCACTCACGCTCACACTTTAATATTGAGTGTGACATAAAAATTGGTTGTCGTTTCTTAATCAATGGAAAGATTTAACGTAAAACTTTTAAAATCAAGCTCTTATATTCGAGAGGAAATACCGCAAAGGAATCGCTATGAGGTAAATGAATTAACCCACTGAGTTTGAGGATGAGTGAGCTTTAGATTGTAAGCTTTAGTGTTGACGGTATTTAGCACGGCATATAACCAACTGAAAAACCTTATTCTGCTGAAAGTATAAGCAACTAGTTGAATAGCTAGGCTGCGTGATGTTTATACACATGCATACAGTACCTTAATCCATGTTCTCTTGTGAATGCCATCTATTGAACAAAGTTGCTAGAATGTAATATAGAAATATAATTTTTAAATGCATGGAAACTTCTCATGTAGTTTGTTCCTAATAACATAACTATTTATGAGAGAAGTATGACTGGAATTTTTCAATGATGGTGAACAGATTCTAAATTGTTTAAGTGTAACACTTACCCTCCCTTTTAAACCTCCTTCATACAAACCAAAATCAACGTCTAGAGCTTTTCGCGGAAACGCAATTTGTTTACTCAGCTCCGAATGCAGGAAACTCACATGATGCTAAGTAATTTTTGAAAAAAAAAGCCTGTTAAAAACTGAAATTAACTTGCAATTTTCTTAAGCATGCAAAACAAACCTACCCAGTTTTGAACCGTTTCCAAAATGCCCAAAGTGAGATACAGCCGACCGACTTCCGCCAATTTAAAAATAAATGCCTGTAGCAAAATAGAGTGTATCGTGATTAATTGATCTATGCAGCACAGTTTCGAAACTCACAAAGTCATTTTCGTAAATATATGAGTTGACGTTTTGCTAGTAAACTCTTTGTTGTTTATCGAACTCCAGGCAATTTTAGCCATGTATTTTATACGAGATATAAATATTCAAGACCTAAACCTTTTGGATAGTCATTATATATAGGGTCATAAATTTCAAGGTCTTCTGGTCATTAAAATCTAGATCTAAGAACCCAAATCTAATTATACTATATATAAAGGGCATTTTATTGGCTATTGTATGGAAGAAACTAGAAACAACAGCACAAACCAAAAAGATGCGACAGTATAGACTGACTGACCTGCTCCTGGCGCTTAACATAAGCATCCATCTCCTTGAAGACCTGAAGCTTTAGTTGTGGATAAGGAAAACCTTTTTTAAATGCATATACATCTCGCACGAGATATTTTCCTTCCAATATTTGACCTTTGGAATACAAAGAAAAGTAGTGTCAAAAAGACACTATATATATGAAAACATTGGTGAATAATATTGATTATTATTTATTTAAGAAAATTCACAGTCTCTGATGTTGCCGGATTTGTCATGTCCAACGAATTATTGAATTCGGTTTTCACATGATATGAAAAATTGGTTCATAACGGAAAACTTCGGCTTGATAATTCTCCATACCATCTTCAACCTCATTTGAAAACTGTTAATAATCACCATATACTCTAAATCTAAAACTAAATACAACCACGGAGCTAAGCACAACATCACTAGAAGCAATAGCGTAGCCAGCCTGACAATTTTCACCTGCTATATGTAAATTTCCAGTTATTATAATTATTCATTTCTGTAGAAATTTATTGTTTTCACAGTCAATGAACACCAAAATATCTTAGCATCCATAGCAGGACAAATCATCAGGCTGGCTTCGGTATACTGACTAGGAGGCTAGCAGGGTAAATTTACCTGATTTTGCATCCACGAGACGGTAATGTGGGTTGTCCAAAGACCATTTTGCCGTACAATATTGTAGTATGTGGTCAAAGGTCATATCCTGCAAAAAAGACAAATTTAATGTCTCCTTAAACCTCTGTTAGCGTAAAAAGCAAAAATGAAGGACAGCAGTTGAAAAAACAAAACAACAAACTACCGAAATAAGGTTCCAAATATTAAATATTGGGTGGGTATAAAAATAAAATGGCAGTTATAACTTTTCGGTATTTGCCGTAGTAGTTCTGAAATATAGCTATAGACTATTTAGTATTACTTTTTAGGCTATACCCACCTCTCGCACTGTCAGTTTTTCATTTTCTGTTCTTGTATCCGGCTTCGGACAAGTCACAACAATTTTCTGCAATCATGGAGAAGTGCAACTAAGTATGATTAAAATGCATGGAATGATAAATATGCAATAGTGGTTAATGGTGGTGTGCCAATCGCAGACTTCGCTCAACACTTGTCCACTAGTACTGTGCTTTGTCTTACCTTCGTTCCTGGTGTATTGGCAGTGACCATTAGTGTTCTCTATAATTATATAAACAGGCAAAATTTAACACTACTTCTTCTGCACGAGGAAAACTTCACTTAAAATAACCGAGCCAGATACGCGTTGAAAAAATTTTTTTCAGATACGGCATTCCCACAAGGGACGATATTTTAGATTAGAAGAAACACTTTTTACTTATTATAATGTTGCAGTTTTTAACTGAAATGTACTAGTTTATAGAATAATCAGGAATGCATGGAGATTGCAAACACGGTGAAAGAAGATGTAGTATGTGTAATTGGGTCATGCATGTAGCATGACGTGCACCGTCATAAGAATTTGTGGCAAGGTCGTTCAGTTTTCAAATCGTAGTTGGATTTGCTTATCACACCACCACCATTCCATCGATGAGTAACAGTAGCTATACGACTAAATTTATGTTGGAAGGAATAAAAACAGGGCCGTTGGATGCACTCGCATAATCCTTCACGTCCAATGCTATGATTTTTCGAGGAGGGCGGTTAGGGATAAGAAAAATAGGACAGGTCTCAGATAAGAGTAAGTCTAGTCCAACTTTGTACCTCGCAATGTTCTTTCTTGGCTGAATACTTGAGATCCTTTAGATAAAGCTTTGGAACGCTCGGTACAATCTGGAAACAAAGAAAAAAGACATTGATGAAACCAATACTTGAAATAAACATAAAGTAATACCATGCAGCGATGTTGCAAGAACCAACAATTGTACACGGTGTATGACGCTTGTCATTAAAAAATACACATGCATTAACTTGAAAATGACAATTCCTAACAGCGAATGTTTTATTAAAGAGACTTTACGCCCAGGCATGCAAATACCTTCCAGAGCAATGAGGAAAGAATGAGAGCAATAGCGTCCTCAGAGCATGGCTGACATCGACGTGAATAGAACAGAACCACGCCCACCTGCAAAAGGGAACTTGATTTTGAACAATATGATTAAAATCATGGGTTATTGACGATGACCTTTTTTTTAGCTCTATAAACTTTATTACAATGAATCGTAATCCTGATTAATATTGAACGCCTCAAGTATAACAACGATAACCCACAAAACTGCTAAAAAGTAAGGCTGCATGTGTATACCTGTACTAGTGTAAATGACATTCTATAATTTAGAGGGTAGTACTTCACTTACCAGGTGGTTGAATAATATAACACCAGCATTTGGAGGAAGCGTTGGAATGTGCACTAACAACTTGTTCAAAAGAAACACCAGCTCTTTCTATATAGGAAACGAACATGATGTCAATATGTCATCAAATTTGGCAGCAAGTAATGAAATAAAAACTGTCAGGCAACTGTTCCAGCTAGATATAACTAACATGATGGAAAAATATGATAGTTAAAATGTTAGAAAATGTTAGGGAAATCAGAATTTGAATAAAATTGTTACCTCCTGCAAGCTACGTGATCATATGAGCAGATAATTCAAACCTGTTTGCTTGGCTTTGTTATTTCTTCAAAAAAAGTTCTGAAGAACAAGGTTGGATCATCAACTAAACATCCCCATACCGTATTCTTTGCGACCTCGGACACTACGTAATGCAAATAATAATAATAGCTAAATATCTAATAATGGACTCTTCGTATAATATACAGGTCTTTGATAGGTATATACAGGTCTGATAGAGAACCATCGTAACAACGTAACTTTCGGTTTGTCATTGGCAAGTTAAGCTTTATCTCACCTGCTGTTTGAGTTGATGTCACGGATGAATCGTCAAGAAGTCCGATGATACGAGGGATGGCAGTCGACATGGCCGGTGGCCAGAAATCCGTTGTGACAGGTTGAGCTACGACATCACTACCTGTAAGAAGGAATGGAGTTTAATCATTTCTCGATAAACCAAGGGCTTGTTTGTATATATAAATTCACGTTCATCGACATGCCTAATCTAGCAGAAAAAATACTAAACAAAACTCGATCCGTTTTGGTAGGATAAGGTTTTGGTGAAACCAGCATTTAACTTAACGGTCTGTGATCCAACCTTGTCGTATCCAATTCATTTCTGACGAATGGAGTGTAGTCGGTATTGATAAAGTTGTACTATGAATTAACTTAATTTGCTTTCTATATCCATTGCAAGTCAACAGATTATAATGAAATATCCATCAGACATGAATTGGATCCAAACAAAATTGGATTGTGCACATATCTTTGTAAAACATACCCTCTTCGGGCTCAGCCGGAGTTGAAGCTTCGAGGGAGACAGAGGTATTTGTAAAGCTATAATACGTTCTCTGCTTTTTCTTTTCTTCGTTCAATTTCGACGCTTCTTCCTCGTCCTTTTGTTTGTCTTCTTCTGTTAACTCAGGTTCGTTTTTCGTGATATGAATGGATGCCGTAGGATCCCAAGGACAATCGGGTACAGAGGGTGCACACGAGCCAACAGGAGGCGACGGTAATGTGAAATCAAGCTTTGGGAGAGGGATCTAAACAATTAACATGCATGATGTAAGAACAAATTCTGTAGGCACGAATCGAGAATAATTTCATCCTAACCCTTAACACGTATTTCGCACCAGCTTCCATACGAGGCCAGACGTGATATCTGCTGCGCCATAAAACACCATATCTAAAAGAAACATTACCTGAGGAGAGCCAGCATTTAAAAGACATATAAGTAGTTGTAAATTCGTATTACAAAACCACAATATTTATTTTTCCAATCTTGACTGGTAATCAACACATTATCATCCCTATCAATTAAGCCAGCTATAGCACTTTAATGTAACTTATCCTGCATTTCTAATGCGCACAAAAAAAAGGTTGCAAATGCGAATTGTAAACAAATTTATAAAGTTTACATGAAAACCTAATAAAAGAATTCTCTTGCATGATTCTCTTCTAGCCAGCGTAATATGGCTATTAAAAAAGAACAATGTTATTGGTAGATACGTTCCAATCTATAACCAAGCGTGGCAGCGTCTTCAAATAACTGGGCATCAAAGCATGCAGCATGCAAGTCCTGTCCCTGACAACGTTGTATAATATACAAGTTTAGAAAAGCATGCTCCTCTTTATATGTTCCACTTTAAATAAACTTTTTATATCCTCCAGATATTTGTGGCATTCTTGGCAAGGCATCTCAAACGGTTAACGTTTCTCGCACCCTACCTCATCAAAGACATCACTTTGTGCTCACAGCTGTTGCATGTCAGTTCAGTTTGAAGCATCTTCTCGACAACATCTCTCAGATGCAAACTCGCGATCAGGAAAATTGCCGCTGTCACAAAAGAAGTATATAAAACGAAAAACGCCATTGTGAATCGCATGGTTTTGTCGTTGTAAATGTTGTGTAATTATTAAACACAAGAATGCAGTTCTGCATTTCTTGCGTTGTGTGATTCCTTTGAACACTTGCTCGCAATCATTCATGTAAAGCTTACGAGGCTCGTGTATAGGCTCGTGTACGAGTTACATCTCTACCCTAATTGCACACTATAAGTTTAAACTTAATTAAGCGATAGCTAGCCTGGACTGATATACACACCTGCAGTCGATACCAGTTCCTCGAGCGGATTTAACAGGAGTTCCCAAGCTAAGGGAATGATATCCAACATCAAAGATGGCTCCATCACCACAGCACCTTTGATAATTACAGACATCGGGCAGTTGAACAAATTTCGGACCTATACAATAAAAAATGGAACGTCTTTAAATCATAAATTCCTCATGTATGCATCAGGATTTATACAAGACAGAGAGAAAAAAATATATCGTGATGTAAGTGAAGGCATCCCATACAATATGATTTTTTCATAAATCTTACCTTTTCGCTCACATATGTTATCATTATCTTATCTCGTTCCTCTTTCTGTTTGATTGTTAATTCTTTAGTGCTTAACTTGCACTGCCTGCCTTTATCCCCTTCCAGTTTCTTGCTGGTATTGCTTGTCAACTGGCTAACAGGTTTGGAGTAAATAGTCTTTAAAGCCGACATAAACTTAGTGCAGCTCTGCGTCTGTCGTCTAATGCAGCCAGGCGCGCACACGTCGCGGTGGTCGCAAAGAAAATTCGTCGACCCACTGACCAATGCGACCGCTTTGAGCCAAGGAAATTTGGTGACCTCCTCTTCTTCATTATCGCTGTTATCTGACGCATCACTCGTCACGTGACCAGAAGTTTTATGTACTACAAAACATCAACAAACACCCTCACTTGACATTAGCTTTGCCTGCATGATGAACTTTATAAACCAAAATTCGTGGCAGAAATATAACTTGCGACTGTAAATTGCGATTTAGAAGCAGCTGCTATATTGTTTTTAATGTTACAAAATATAATATTATATTTAACAGCACAGTACAGCACAGCACAACATAGTACAGCAAACAGGATCGTAAAGAGTACGACGCGGCACGGTACCGCAAGGAACGGCACAGTACAGTACAATACAATACAATCACTTACTTTTCGGGGACTTTTTATATATTCTTGAAGCGGATGTAGCGCTCTTTCGCTCAGTCGTTTCTGGTTTTAAAAGCTTTCTCCTTTTCTCGGAATTTGAGAACAACGCACTGAACCGTTTCCTAGGAATCTTCAAAGCTTCTTCGTTTTCCGTCCCTGATGGTTCGCCGTCAACTTTGATAACAGGTGCCGACATTTTTTTCTCAGACTCCCCCTCCTGGATCTGGACAGTCGGTACCAGTAAACTCATAACAGGGGATAGCATAGAGGGGTTGCCCTGGCGAAGTCTTTCAGCTGGACCACTTGTCACCGCATCTCGATGCTCATTACCAAATACCGATATCTTCTGGGTCATTCGTCTATTCTGTCTCGAGAAAGCGATACTTTTGTTTCTCATCCTCTGGTTTTCGGCCTTCTTCGCCAAAGAGCTGTGGCTTTCTCGCAGAAACGCCGTTATCTCCAGAAGTAGTTGGCACGCCACCATTTTTAAAGCGTGCGGACATTTTCTCGTCTCCTCGTCCAGGGTACCTGTACATGTATGAAAAAAATAGTTCAGAAAATACAGCCGCACGAACAGACATGCATGTTTATTCCAGATGATCTAATCGTCCGGAAAGTGCTTGACTTGGAGTAGTAAGTAGACTGTGTTTCCAAAAATCAAATTTTCGTGACCAACGTAGCCTAAACGCATTTGTAGTTTAAAAATTAAGGTCGATTTTAAAGTATTTTCAGTTTTGCCGGCATGGCTATATGCACAGAAGAGGATTCCCAACTTTTGTCGCCTAATTTCTCAGCTGCCAGAAACAAATGAATAAAGTGTGCTAAAGATATTAAGAAAGCACTCATTGATACTGATTTTGCAGAGATTTTTTTTCTCGGTATATATATATATATATATATATATATATATATATATATATATATATATTTATTATATATATATATATATATATATATATATATATATATATATATATATATATATATATATATATATATATATATATGGCAATTCGCGTTGTGGGGGACGAGATTATGCTTACAAGGTACCAATCGACTGAAAATCCTGCAAATGAGGTTGAATATACTAATTTTGTAAAAAGGTTTGTACCTATACAAGACTACAAGTACAGTACATATACGAACAGTCTTTGTGATTGGTTGGTTGAACTCGCCTTTTGCAAAGAACGTACAGTATCATAATAAATTGCTAAAAGACGGCTGTGTTGAATTCAGGAAACCAATCGCAAAACATTCTCGCATCAGGGAGGCATTTATATACCAGGAGATTGGAGGAGATTTTGAATGTATAATTAGTATTCGAGGTTTATCTACTCGTGGAAACCACTGACATTGGTATGGGAGATGCATGACATTGGCCTATACATCCGTTTCGATCCATTAAGCTAAAGGAAGGAACAGTGTCCCCTCAACAGAAAATAAAAAATAACCATCACAACTTTTGTGGCCATAAGGTGCACATTTTATAATGATATAGCGCTAACCTTCGTCGAGAAAATCTTCTTCAAGCTGTCTAGTATTATCCGTTACATCTTTAGTCTCTTTGTTTGAATCTGGTTCAGTTACAGGCCTCGATTCGATTTGCTCCAGCCTTTTGCCAATAGCGACAGCCCATTTATAGAACAACAGACCCGCTTCGTGTTTAATGCGGACATTTCGTCGACTGACCGCAATCGCGTTCCTTACGAGAGCTCCAAATCCTCCTTTGCCACGACGAGTGGTCGGGTGGCTGCTCAACAACCATGACGGCCACTCACCTTTGTTGCAGCGATGGACGAAATGGGCGCATTCTATCAATAAAGCACCTCTGGCTATAGCTGGTGCTTTCTAGAAAACGTAAAAAGAACGAACATTACTACATAAGAATCTTTTACATTTTAGTCAGCCTACACAATTTATTCAAATATATACAGCCTTAAAAGTGGCACTAAATCGTCAGGAGGCCAAGCTACGCCACCGATACTTGGATGAGTGTACATAAAGTATTACGATATTAATATCATTTCATTGTTTTGCTTTATACGAAGGCAACATACTTTATTATTCTTAGATTAACTATCGAGGAGTTAAATAATTTACTTAATGTGTGCATGTATTTTTTTAGCGGGGGCGTGCAGTACTAATTTGCACGTGTTTCGCCGACTTTAAGAAGTCATGTGCCTCAAATTAGCAGTTATAATGTCACATGGTCTTATACAATTTGCATATAAATTCGACTTTCATAGTAGCGATCTTAAACTAGACTAAGGCCCGTATTCAAAAAGCTCACTCACACTCACACTCATTGAGTGTGACATATAAATTTTGTTAATGCTGATCAATGAGAAAGTTTTCTCTCAATAGATGAAAAGATATAAGGTAAATCACTGAAATCAAGCCCCTGTTCGGCTGAAAATACCGCCATTGAAACGTTATGAGAAGATTAAGATCTCCCACTCAATGAGTTTGAGTGTGAGTGAGCTTTTAGAATACAGGCGTAAATGTCATGCAAAGACTAAACGCTGCGCACTGCATTTATTCATACCAATTCCAAGATTCCAGCCACAATATTTGAATCAGGAACACTGCCCGGCAAACAAGACTCCAACAGCATAGAAAACATCATCATACCATCACGTGTCTCCTGAACGTTCACCGGGATTGACGTGTACTCAATACGGCCACGTTTTTCGCGAAACGATGTCAAAGAAGCTACTCCAGTTTTCCGCAGATCAATGCTAAAAATTTCGTCTGCCTTTTTACGGTTTTTGAAGAATTTCTTCATCAGACTTCTCTTTCTGTCCAAAGAACCGACGGGGGGGATGTCGTCATCAACAGAAAATGATTCTTCACCAGAACTCCCCTTTTTCATACGCTTCATAGCCTATTTAAACAAATATAACAAATGTGCGTCCAATACATGCAGCACGTGTTTCAAGAATCACTTTTAGACTACCTGTTGCTGATCTTCAAATCTTATTCGTAATACCGGTATAACACAGGTATATGAGCATACCGTAACACAGGTATAACTCGACATAAATAGTTAGAAAAGGTCGAATACAACGGTGTATGGTATACGCGACTTTAGTAATAAAAATTAGTGAAGGTCGAATATACCAGTTAACGGAATACACGACATGCATTAGTAGAACTGTAGAAATACAACCCAAACCTTTCTTTTTGACACTGGAGTTGTGGATCCGTCAAAGCCGACTTCTTGATTTCCAACGGGACTACCATCTGCTGAGCTTACACTCTTTGAGAACTTCGAAAAGAAATGTTTTCTTTGATTTTTAGGCGTGACTACTTTCTCGGCGGAACCGGGTGTCCTTGGCAAAGTTCTTGGCAAAGTTCCTGCATCGCCGTCAGTTGCAGACACTGAAGCTCGTGGTTTAACTTCGGGATACGGGTCTAGCAGCCGTTTTTGCTGTTTTCCAGGAGCTTTCAGTAAACCTCTGAACACAACACGGAAGAACGTTCCACCAGCGTATTCTTTTACGTACTTTGTCAACTGTCGTACTTGCCCGTAGAGGGTCTACAAAAACAAGGACTTTAGTACGTCTTCCTGTTTGCCTGGGGAAAATTTATATAATGGACATATAGTAAGGTTTTTGATTGCATGATTTAAATAATCGTACTTTCCCGGATGTATAATGAATGACTATTAATTACAAAAGTTTACTAGTCTAATGCATACATCACCCTGGACCGTGCAGAGTTTTTATAAAAGCGCTCGAAGAAGATAGGACCTCAGAATTTAAGCTCATGCATGGTTGGTCTTAGATATCTATTGTCACTAACAATGAGTAGATACCCCGGTACGTGTGCCATATAGACGTTTACTTTTTAAAATAATTTACGTTTAGACTTTATGGCTAAAATACGACGGGAGAAAACGGTAGTCGTAAACATTGAAGCAAGTTGCGTAACACCATATCCAAATATACCCTCAACCGGAATACTTTTTGCTTCTCTCGTTAATTAAATAATTCAACATATATCGATTAATTAGAACACCATAACATCCAAAAGTCAAATACTAGTTCAACAATATTTGGTAGAGGCAAGAAAGAAAGGCAAATACATGCAATCCATGTTTGTTATAATGATTTCGTGCACGACTCAAGTGAATTAATACTGTGATGGTTTACTCTTACTTACCAACCGGGCAAGATGAAAAATTAGCTTAAAGCCGCGACCTTTGGTTTGCTAGCCCAATTCTAACCAAAGGGCTCGATTCCTATCGTGGTCAAGATATTTTTTAGCCTGCAGCCTGTTTGGTAACTCAGAGTAGCACCCGTTGTACTTAAGGTTGGGTAATACTGTACTTCTCCGGATCCTCTTCACTCCACACTGAAGTATCGTTCGGTCATTTTTTTATCTTAAAGCATAAGGCACGTACTCACCACATTAGATATCTCCTCCAAGTTGAATTCCAGTAATCGTGCTATGTAAGGGGCAAATACACTGTCTATTATAACACCAAGTATGCCAGACTTCTCTTTGAAATGGTCGGACATGTTCTTTTGGGTTGACTTAGATTCCAGAGTCATGGTACAGAAGCCAAGCAACGCGTGCAGAAAATTGGTCACGACTTCCACATCTTCATCCTCAATATAGCTACACAGCAACGTCTTGAAGTTGTCTTTATCCATATCATGCAGCTTCGATAACATCGCCATTGTTTTAGCTCTAAGATTCTTGCCAATTACTCCCCTGATCCCCTTACCACAGCCATAGGAACAACCAAGAGCACATACTACATTGATAACACACACGACAGCTTTCTTAAAGGACAGAAGGAACGAAAACTTTCCCACAACGCTCTCGTTATTATTCTTGGAGATCGGGGTGCTGGTCTCTGGGTGCTCCTTGTCGGATGCACCATTGTCGGACAAGTCTTTCTTCGGCGCCTTTTTTTTCAAAACATGCTTATCCAGAATATATTCCAGTACCGACAGGACCAAGTCACAAACGCGCGCGTTCGAACTTTGACTTGCAATCTGACACACGACATCTAGAAACACCGCCTTCTTCAGCGACCCATTGTCATCCAACAAATCTTTCGCTCCGTTCGCCACCTCTGTCTTGTTTTCCTCCAGTTCAGGAGGTAACTTGAGGTTGGAAAGGCTCGTGAGAGCGTCAAGCAAAGAAGACGAAGACGAATTACTAATTTGACGAAGACGATTACCATCTTTAACGCTGTGTCTCAAGCTTTCTGCATCCGGCGAAGTATTCAAACCATAGAATCGCTTCAGTTTTTCAACGTTAGCCGCTGTTGCCTGAGCTTGCACAGGCTTGGTGACTTTCTTGCTCGCACTGGCCTCTGTTTCCGGGTCAGCTGTTGAACTTGAGCTAGTTCTTTTGGATTGTTCCTGTAAGTAATTTTCCTCAGTTTCTAGATATTTTAAAACATACTTCAGCCCCCATATACGTCCCTCTTCGTGCCAATCAGGCAACATAAGACACTTTAATACAGCAAGGTCAAAAAAGGTCGCTTGAAGCTCGACAGGAAAGCCATTTCTCGTAGAATTACTCGCTTTATCTCCGTCTGGCTTTTCAAAAACAACTGGTGCGACAAAGCATTTCAAAGGAGGTGCGCGGAAACTCCAAAGAGCTTCCCAAAGTTCCAACCCTTCTTGAAGTCTGAATGTGAGGTCTTGCGGCTGAATAAAGTTCACGTAAGGCACCACAGATTGAACAAAAAGCTCCGCAACATTTAAGGGATATAGCTTCCCTGAGTAGCCTTCAACTTCATCGGGAGCTTTTATCAATATCCAATGCAAAGTGTACAGAAGCTTTGTTTCAGCGACGGATAATCTTTCTTCCGTGTTGCCATGCACTGCCCGATTAGAGAGCAAGGCGGCACAACAGTGAAGAACAAAGGGTAGAGCGCCTTGAACGAAATGCCATCTTGGAATTGTGTTCATTGAACGCGACAGATTCGGTGGTAGATCGCCAACTCGGTTCTCGCAAATGATTTTCTCGAATGCCTAAACCAAAGAGTGAATGTGTGAGTGAACGAATGAATAAATAAAGAGATTAATTAATCAATAATGGTGATAGAACGGCGAATAAGAAGGGCCAAAATCATACGAGTGTTCACAAAATCAATCGACCGCGTAGCGGGGAGTTGATTTGTTAACCACGAGTATGATTGTCAGATTGTGGCATTAATTGCATGACTTAATTCGTTTTATCACTTACTAATTATAATTATATATTTTCTCACTTACTAATTATATACCTTCAAATTCAATATAATTGTTAAATTTTATGGCAACAATGCTTGGTAAATAGTACAATTTGGAATTTAAAATGCATATTTTGTATCCTGAGTAGTGATATCGATTTGCTATGAGCAATAATGCAATTACAACTCGCCGCAAAGGGTGCAATCAACGCTCAAATCGCATTCCTTTAGGCCAATGAAACTGCAGCATTTGCCAAAGATTACAGAAGGTAGATAATCAATTAATTTATTGATCAATTGAATCATGCTATGAATATCAAAAACAGCAGGTTACTCGATCTTAAATAAGTTTTTTAATCGCTGATCGACATTGTTGAAGATCTAATGATAGTAATTTTTTAATTTGTGACGACTGGGAATATAAATGTTAGAAAAATAACGTATGGTTAGAAAAATAACGTATGGTTAAAAAAAATAATAAAACTAGATCTACTATTTTTAATCAGTGCATATTACATTAGATTATTTTTAGCCTAATGATTTATAACTGCATGCATAAGCAAAATATTGTTGATTGAACTCTTTAGTCACATTAATTAATTACAGTACAACACCAAAAACATGTATTGATAATATTGAATTTAACCAAAATATTTCTACGAACACTTTGTCTCCAAAACCTTTTAAAAAGGAATAAAAGAATAAAACTATTTATAACGGTACAATTGGCAAAATCTACTGTTATAAATAGTGGACTAATTAACACTTATTTACTGCGAACGAAGGAAACATTATGTTTTGTGGACGCGAGACCTGTCGATATTTCACGAGGCGAAGCCGAATATCGATGGTCCACAAAACTTAATGTTTTCTGAGTTATCGGTAAATAAGTTTTTTATTATATACCACTTGTCAAAGAAAAACCAACCTACAAGGTAAACAACGAAGTATCCATTCATAAAATACCTAATTTCAAATGGATAAACAGTCTAAAGGTCGCACGATTAATAATGGTAATAGAACGAATAGGAGTGCAATTAATGCCAAAATCATACGAGTGATTACAAAATCAACCGACCGCGCAGCGGGAGGTTGATTTGTTAAGCACGAGTATGATTTGGCATTAATTGCACGACTTAATTCGTTCTATTACTTATTAATTATCCATCTTCTGTAATCAAAAATTCTGGTCATTTTCTTCAGCAAATATATAATTTAAAAGGTCAAAATTTTCAAAATCATTGTCAAATTCCTCAATTTTTAAAAATTTCGCGCCCCAAAAAAAACAAATTCTTATTTTGTATCCTGAATGCTGATTGGCTACTTGTAAAGCTATGCTGAATTTCATTGGCTGTGAACAAGAGTGCGATTACAGCTCACCAAGAGTGCGATTAATGATTAATCGCACTCCTGTAAACCAATCAAATTGAAGTATTTGACAGTGATTACAGACGATGGATAATTAAAGTTGTTATTTCCCATGAGATTACACGTTATCTCACTCTGCAGGGGGCCGCGCTGGCGACATCAAAATTTCGTCACTCTCGCGTGATTCGCTCTCGACCAATGAAATGCTACGAACACCAAACTTTGACAAGTGGTATATAATAATAGGTAATATCGTGCTTCACACTTACCACACACACATGCTCGTATGCCCTTTTTTCGTGTAAATTCGGCTTCAGAAAGAAACTAAAAAACATAAATATACATGTAAGAGGATGTAAGGATGATATAAACAATCACATTACATGCTTTCTAACAAAAAAAGCAAATTAGAATTCTTTGAATTAATTTCCCCATAATTTAAAGGCAAAAGCAGCGTTGCCAGATCGTGAACAAAGTTCACAAATTTGTGAACTTTTGTTCTCTTTATGAACTTTTTATGAACTTGAAAGATTTGTGAACTTTTTATAAACTTTTTAAAATTGGTAAAAAGAGTTGTTTCTCATGTTTTTAAAAAGAGTTGTTTCTCGTTTTTATTTGGTATTTATCATCTTTGGGAGAATTGCGGTGAATCCGGTCAATCCAGTGGGTCAATCTCCGTGGTCAATCTCGATAGTCTCCAATAATTTCCGACGATATTCCGACGTTTTTCGATACTTTCCGATCTTAAAATTTAGATATATGAACTTTTTGTCATTTTTGTGAATTTTTGACGTAAGCGAACATGAATATTTTGAAATTTCATCAGGCAACACTGGCAAAAAGAGCAAGACGTTATTTACATGCACACTGCATACTTTGAAAACCTTAATTGAATTGGGGTACGCAAAACATTACTGTTTTTTGCGCAGATCGGTAAATTAGTCATCAAGATCCACGCTGCTGGTAAGAACATTTAGAACAATCCTGAAGACATTATTAGAGCTGAAAGAAAACATGTGCATATAGACAGTTTTTTGACAGGGTGAGTGATGCTATTGCTACGGACGGTGTAGGTATACTAGGTAAGTATTTAAAACTTTTCGCAGCACTCAAAGCATTATAGAAATGTGAACATATTTATAGATGAATTTGAGAGCTAGAGAGTAGAGTTGTTCATGATAAAGGACCTTATGCCTATGATGTCTAGGAAGTCAATCATCCAATAGCTACGCAAGAACAAATGCTATACAAAAACTGACGTATTTCACTACTATTCGTGTTTACTTAATTTATTACATGCAGAAACTGAATTGCATTCCATAATAACCTTACACTGCTGAAAATATGTGTTAATTGCTCTAAATAGGAGAGGGGTACAGCTATTTCAATTCATCTATTTCTAATTTATGATCCTTTAAAATCTTTGGTAAAGAACTTAACAAAAGTAAAAAAAAAGTTTTTGAAAAGTTATATTAACAATTTTTAACTTCTTGTTTGATATAAATCAAATTTTAATTTGGTTAACATGAATTAAATCATGTCTGTTTGTTAATGTACTTATAATTCTAATTTATAAATCTACAGTGTAAATTATATATGAATCTTTAAATTATACTTCTAAATCTAACATTATGTTTGTTACGGTATGCTTGTTAAGTTTGTTATGCTTCTAAATGAATAAGTTAATTAAGTTCTAAATTAAGTTCTAAACTAAATTAATGTACAGGAAAAATCAAAACATCTGAATTATGGGTAATTTTGAGATCAGTAGACCCCAACATTGGTATTATGAGCAGACCCAATGTGCAGAATGGACTTGCCTTTCACTTTAATATTATTATTAGTTACAACATACTACAACTGAGGTGATTAATACTTCTATTAGACCTGGGCACAGATTGAGGGCTGGAAATTTTGGAACGTATCAAGTACCTACATGCACAGCACCAGTTATACTGTAATTCATCACAATTTAATGCCAAATTAATTATAAGAGAATTATTGTGGAAAGGTAGGGTTCCTAGGCCTGCTTGCACTAAAGTCCCTGGCAGTGGCTCTTTGCTAAGCCACAAATAACTTTAGTAATTTTGCTACTTACTTGAACACAAACATTAGTTTGGCAGAACAAAATATACTTTTGCACCCCACACTATGCAGGAACGAAACGAAAAGACTAGGTAAAAAAGCTTTGTGCCTATATACGTCAACCCTTCATGTCAGATCATTTCTTAAATTAGGCTATTTTGCTTCACAAAAAAGTGGGTTAACCCCATAATCTGCACCCACAAGAGAAGATATGGTTAGTGTAGGATCTAAGGCAGTAATATATAAGGGTAACATCTAACACAATGCCTTAGCTGGAGGCGAGTGATTCCTGTTTACTATTTACTAATCTTGTAATTAATAATGTTCAATAGTTCTTGTAATTGTACATAATATATATTTTCATCCATGCTGTAATTTAAATGTATACATGCACAATGCTTATGTACAGTTTCTTGAATTATAAATTTCTTACTGTTTAATTTATATAATAGACATTTAACTGACTCCTTAATTCACATATGAGAGAAAGTAGAGCAAAGAATGAGGAACTTTATTATGTGTTAGTATGCAACTTTTAATTTTAATACCATCTGTATTCAGCTGTTAACTTGTGTTCAGCATATGACAAGTTTGACATTAGAGAGCATTGACATTTGGTGTAACACCCTATAATTTAGTCCTATATCGTACATTCGGGCTATTTATTATACGTAACTGTTCGTTTTCAAACAAGCAATTTTGAAAGTGATCGTATCTAAATAGGCACGTGGAACTTTAATATGCAATTTTCTGTGAACTAATGTTCATGGCTCCTCTACTCGATAGTTCGTCTTATATTTGTAAAAGTAAATGAAATGTCGTGGTCAGGTATTAAAGTAAAATAGGAAAATTTTTATCTGGCTGTTGTTGTTCGAAGCCCCACTAGCCTAGATGCTGGATAAGTTATCAAGCATCGATATCGATCATAATACATTATACATATATATACATCAAGCAACCTCGCTATAAACCTATATGTATATACATGAGTAGCATTTATAACTAAATATATATTTGGGAATAAGATTGTTCAGTAACTCACAAAATGTGTGAAATTAATAATAATTTATGTAATTTTGACTTGTATGTTATATCTACTCCTTTATCAATCTATAAACAGGCCTGTGAGCAACCGGCCTCCGTATTCCTGAATCTTCAAAACAAGCGGCTAGGCGGGCTAGCCAACATGTAAACAAAGAATTGAAATGTCCTTAAGCCCGTACAGGCTTACTACCGAAATTTGTAACAAATTAGATTTGCGGAATAATGCTACATTATATCGAACAAAACTAAGCTCGTAATCGACTACGGAGTACTTGCTTGCGGGCAGAATTATCATTTCGAACGACAGATGTTTTAGTGGGATGCTCACTTAAATTATTGAAAGTTCGCCTATTTAATACCGGTAATATCAGTATTTACCTGAATGGACTTCCAAACACATTTAATATAATGTTACAAATTAGAAACTATTAATAATCTAAACAGAAATACGTCCCCGATGCTTCGTAAAAGTGGACGATGTAGTATGTATATATAGCAAACAAAAATAACTCTAATATATCGGAGTCTAAGAAGTTAAGCTATACGATCCCGTTCCCTGCGGCATACCTCGTTTGTCCCCAAAGATACGTCTGTATAGCCAAAGGAACTTCAATTCGTTCACTTTCCACAACCTTGCTGACAAGTTGCTTTTGCATGGTCTAGCGAGCGAGATCGTCTATAAAGATGCGAGAACACACATCGACAGATCCGTAATCTATTAAGGTATTTGTTGTGCTAATTTTTAATTATTTGTCATTTTGGGTTTAATTTTCACATAAACATAGGAAACCCATTCATTATGTTAGAAATGACTCGGATGTGCGAAATGGAGGGACTTGCCAAAAAAGCCTCCGTCTTACTCACAAGGTGAAGGTGGTTAGCTTCGGAGTGGTATTGCCGTATTGGGTTATATTGCTTGTTGAATATAATTCATTTACGTGCGTGTATGTGTGTTTGGGATTTGGATCAAGATCAAAGTTTTGGGCTGATTAGAGTTAAGATTGTTGATTAGTATTACGCACGCCCACAGAACACGGCGACCTCCTCATCACAAAATAAATGGAGGTATTCCATTTCAATAAAGAAGTTATTTGCCGCAGCGAATAATAGGTTTATTGCTTGCGTGCATTATTATTAGTTTATTTGTAGATAACGTTATAGCTATATAAGGTAGCCAACGCGTAGAACAATGGAGGGAAACTCGTTTGTAAACTGGCCATTCTAGACTTTGAGTACAGTGAAACTTTGTTAGTTGTTACCTTTTTGGAGAACGTGCTCTCCTGATTTATTCCAGGCGGAAATAGAAAGTTCAAGGCTATTCGCACTTTGCTACAGTTAAGCAATATTCCCGATACCTATATAAAGCGATCCGAAAAGTTCAAAGTCATTTTATATCTGGCTTCGTCGAAGCAATTTCGGAAGTTTTCATTCCCTCTAGGTTGTGAGCTAAGATAATTTCTATGTAGTTATGATTGTGTGGCGTTCTTTATCACCCCACCTTTTCTGTGCTGTACTAAAATACGAACGTTGTAACAATTTATAATTTGTTACTTTTGGTTTAATTAAATCGGCATGTGCTCTAGCACATTTCAGTTGCATGCCTTTAATTTGGCCAGAAAACAGAGCTCACCAGTCTCGGAAACCGCCGGCACCTCCTTATAGGGTTTGCAGTTGAAACGGAAGCGATAACGAGCCTTTGTAAGACAATTAAGCATCTCGAAGAACACTTTTTAGAACGACTTCATACGGAACTTCATACGGAATACACACACAAAAAAGTTGTGGAATACATTTCCCTCCGCAGTTGCGGACCAACGTTAGTAGCATGCTATCGGACCTATCGGTTATGAATTTCCAAAGAATGTTTTACAATCTTCAGATGTAAATCCAATGTGATATATTATTGTTATGGTTTATACTAACTTTAAATCTGCCACTGTTTCTCGCAAAAGAATCTCCTGCATTGTTTCCACTTTATTTTACACCTTTTTTATGTCTTTTAACTAACTGAAGTGGTTGTTTTTGGCACGTGGTATTATGCAATTGATTTTATGACCGTGCAATGGAACTTTCCATTATACGGTTTAACCGTCTAACCGTGCGACTATAGTCAGTTTCTATTGCACATTTGCTTATATATACGGTTGTACAAAATGATCGAGGTCCGATCTTTGTCGGTAAAGACCGAGCAAGTGAGGTTGATAAAAAGTTTATTGCTGCGGAGCGAGGGAGCCTGAAGCGAGCGAGCGTAGCAGCAGTCTAATTGGCGTAGTAGGCAGTGAAAAGCAAATTTTTAGGGTTGCGTTGCATTGTGGTTGTGCGCAGTGACGCAGTTGTATCAGGCCTGGTTGTATGCGCAGTTGTGCACAAATTAATCTCACGTTTCAGTGATATGGATTAAATACCAATATGGATTAAAACTTAAAAGTCAAACGTCCAAGTCTGGAAGAGGTACCAGTCCAGATTTAACATACATTCTGTTCTTCATTCGCCTTTGTTTTCATTCATTATAAGGTTGACAGTTGTTTGTCGTTTTGCCTGATTTCTACTGTAATTTGTTTTGATTAACAATATAAATATTCGCGCATTGATGTCTAGATTTTTAGCATATCGTACGACGCGCGATATACAGCATTGACTATCAAATCGTATTTTAAGTATATTGTTGATTGTTTTGCCTGTTTGGACTTATTTTGACTCAGTGTTGATAATCCAAGTTTATTTCCTTATCTTTGTCATTGCGCCTCGTGTTTCATTGTCATAGTGTGCCTGGGCAGTCTGCCGTATTCGAATTTCATTTTTTTCGAACTGATTAAACTGTTTGTAGCTATTCTCGGTTTCATTTGCACTACGGTACTGCGCTTAATTCAGTGTGACGTTTACTAGGGTCTAGGGGTAAAAAGCTCAGTAAAATCGGCAATTTAGTGTTTATCGAAATGTTTTACATATTTGTCATTGCGGCTTGTGTTTCGTTGTCGCTTGCCGCATGTAAATACAGTAAATGAGTAGCAATTCTTTGAAGGAACTGATTATATCTTCGATTTCATTTGCACCTTTGCGCTTGATGGTATTTCTTATTTTATCTTATTGTTAGACCACAGTTTAGTTTGATAATCCAAGTTTATTTTTACATCTTTGTCATTGAGCCTCGTGTTTCATCGTCATAGTGGGTCTGGCAAACTGCCATGTACGAAAATACAGCAAACGAGTATAGCAATTCTTTGAACTATTTAAGGCAAGACGACGATGCCGAAGGGTCGCCGAATACATCAAAGGTGGATTGCCCTGCAGAAGGAGTCACTTACATTCTGATTTTGTTAACTTTATAGTTTAGTTCAGGCCCTGTTACACGATGCAATTTTTTTGCAACTTGCAATACAACTCTACTCTTGAGAAATGTAAAATGCCAAAGCGCGTGTTTTGCGTTATCCATATAGCATATCTTCATTGACTTTACTGATTACAAGCAGAATTCTAAGTTGCAAGAAAAATTTCACCTTAACACGTCCTTTGTTAAATTAGTTGCGACGTGATCGTGTGACACATATTTCACAAATTTCAACGCTTTTGTAATATTTTTTTAACAATTGTACAGTTTTGCCAATCCTGTTCTTATATGATATTTGGTTCAATTTGTTTTTAATGCCCGCAGCAATCCCTACCTTGCAGGTAACCTAGTTATATGGCATAAGTCATGTATTTGCACTTGAAACAAACAAGAAATTCACGAATTCGTATTATTAGCCTGGTACGCATTTGATGAAAACAAAAACAAAATATTGATTATTTAGTTTACCTAAACTGTCTGGAGACGTCTTATTAATTTCAATAGCAATTAAATTTTTTCTTGACCATTTACTTGGGCCTTATTCATTCAGAAATTCTCATTCAGAAAAAGTTTTTCATCTCGTAATGAATCGCCGGTAACGCCGGTCCATTACGGGAAAGTGCCGGTCCATTACAGGAAAGTGCCGGTCCATTACGATAAAGTAATGGACCGCTGAAAATTCTTCTCAGCCAATCACTGAGCTCCATTTCGCCGGAAGTGACGCTTGCCATATAATAAAGATAAATAATAACATATCTATTTTTGTGTCATATCGATAAAACAAATATTAAATGCCATACATTCGCGGACCATATTACCATTAAGAATATTTTTTTCAATGAATATGGGATGTTCCATCAGTTTTACCGCATGAAAATATCCTTAATATTGTAAGAATAAAAACATTCCTTATTTATAGTATAATATTGTATTTTCTCCTGTTGTCACGATGATTGGGAAAAATAGACTATTGCGTGACATTGCTGAGAAATTTATAGTACTCAAGTCCTCAACCCACATAGCTCACACTTCAAACCCGGAAAAAAAATAATAGAAGTATTCAATCATTTTTTGTAACTGAAATGACCCAATGGGTCATTGCACTTTAACATGACTACACTCCAAAGCATGCCTACACTATTAGGTTTTTATACCACAAAAATATGCCTACAACAAATAAATCGTGCTAAGTCAGTAGCGTAGCCAGCCTGTCGATTTGTCCCGCTATGCTAAAATTTTGGTGTTTTTGACTGTGAAAACAATAAATTTCTAAGGAAATGAATAATTATAATAACTCGAAATTTACATAGCGGGACAAAATCGTCAGGCTGGCTACGCCACTTCTTATAGTCTAGCCATATCTTCTCCCTGAGCCATATACAGCCAGTTTACAATATCATTCTGTTGTATAGACCAATTGCGAAACTTAGTAACCGCGCCTTCGCATAACATGGAAGCGAGGCTTATTGTGCAAAAACAATTTTTGTATTTTTTGCCGTACAAAGCTATCCGCCGAGTTACATCCCGGTTTTGCCTTTGGTTTACATATTTTTCAATACATTTAAAGCTCGGTTTCATCGTTGTTATCATAGTTTTCAGGTGAGGGAGTTTTGCCTTTCATTTGAGGCGTTTTTGTGATGTTTTCATTAATTTTTTCGGCTGCTTTCGTCGGGGAAATATGGAAAAGGCCGACACAAACTCAGGTAAAAATTCAGTTTTTTCCAAACTATTTCGTCTCAAGTTTTGAAAATTTATTTTATTTTTCTTCCTCTTATTTGTGCAAAATTTGGCGATATATATTTGGTGCAAAATCTATGTTTTTGTGACAAAAATTATTGAAAACTAAATGAAAAGTGACAGTCAGATTATATAATTTCACACCTAATGACTGAAATGGTTCAAATTCATTCACAAATATCACTATGTTTTTTATCTTTATACCAGAGTAATACGGTGAAAATGGCAAAAAGTAACTAACTGAAATGTTTTTGTTTATTTCGTTTTAAAAAGTACAGACGATGCATGGCTTGCATACCGACATGAAGGCCGAATTTTATTTAAAAGTCGAATTCGAACGCATCTGACGTTCTGTATATTTTGTGTCACTACAAAACACTATCAGTCTTTCTATCTACTACCATGCAATAGATGTTTTAAATAAGGGTTAACCAGGAATACTTTAAAAGGAAAAGATTCCGTTCACCATCGCATTATAAAACGGAAAACACTTCCGAACTTCGCCTTCGGGTTGTATATTCTTTTCGCCATCGGCTTTGCCATCATGTAAAGGCATATCTTAAAAAACGTGGGCTCTCGCATTGTGGCTACATGTATAGTATGATATTGTGGGAAAAGGAATATTAAATGGCAATTCAAAATAGAGAATGATGTTATGTCTTGGTAATAAGTATTTTG